AAAAGGCTGCAACGAGGTAAGCAAGCTCTGCCCTCCTTTTAAATATGGAGAGTTAAGAGACACCACAACAATGCATGAGAGGTGAGACTCTCAAAGAGAAGCACCTTTGCACTGTTGAAGTGACCTGTTTTAGTGATGCTGCAGGTGCCCTTATTTATATGCTTACAGCACTCTTTTATCATGAATAAGGTTTGTTGACATTTTTTGAAGTATTGTTCGTTCAGCATCAATTTTCAGCATTTTATATACAAGCTTACCCGGCTGGAGACAATAAAATCATGACATTCAGCTGCAGAAGTTAACAAGAAGTTAAACGCAGATTGAGCCCTCTGTTGTTATATAGTACCAGTACTCACATTTGATCTCAGAGTTCAGCAGTCCCCTCAGTGGATCATTTGTCAACTGTCTTGTGTGATAGTATTTCAATTCTATCAACATTTAAAAACTTGCATGACCAAATGTGACAGTCAGACCCAGTGTTACTGAAGAGCTGGACATCAGAAATTAGGCTACAAAGAATACAGTGGAAACTTTCCTCAAGAATAACAGCCCTCATTCTCATCCTTGGAGTAAAACAACACAAATAAGCATCTTACCACAGCTCCTGTGTTCATTAAGCTTCACAGCCACTTTCTCTGTGCTTTCAGATTAACTTGATTTACTACAACAGCTGCTCATTACACAGTCAGCTCCTGGACTAAATCTGGACTTCTAGGATGACCTCAGCAAACTAAAAAGAGCTCATGAGCCAAAAGGTAGGAGGTCTATGATTCCAGCAAGGTACAGAATTATAGAGGGATCCTGATAGCAAACTTCACACTTTTGTCACATTCATTAAAAAAAGATGTACCTGTTACTAAGACAGTCTGATTTGACATAAACACAAAAGACTGTCCACTCATGAAAAAGACAAATGCTCAGGGAGGATTTGTCCACTTGCTTCCTCTTTCTTATGAGTTACATAGCCGACCAAATGGCCCTGAGAGATTCCTGCAACCCAAACAGCACGGCCACCTTCAAAAAGCCCAGTCTCTGTTCATGCAAACTCATCCAGGTATTGGCATTGCTGCCTTACCTATTACAAAGACCTAATAAGCCTATCTCAGCAGGGTTATCTAAAGGGCCACTCCCTTCACTTAAAAGTCCACTTAAGGACCCACTCCGATGAAAATCATGTTTTTCTTGTTGTCGACATGTTCATATGTAATTTTTCTGATGCTACAGGACACATCATGAAAAAAACGTGTGAAATTGCATCTCTGAGTATTTCTGTATTCAAATCTCTGTGAATCTTTTGCAGACCCAAACTGCAGGGTTAGATACAGTGAGATTTCCTACATCACAAAACCAAGCTCTGCCTCCGGAGCCCTGCTATGGAGGCCAGACTCGGAGAAGTAGAGAAGACAATCACAGAACAGGCATGTGCTTTAGCAGATTGCAATGCTCGTAAGAAAGCAAATTATATTAACTTTCATCATGTTCCTAAAGACATTAGTTAGGCTGCAAGCTAGCAAGAAGAGGAGTGTGCAGAGCAGCACTGTCTCCGCCCACGACTCAGAGGTGAATTGCTAATGAGCTACTGGAGCTCTGCAGAAGAAAAGCCCTTAAAAATGGCACAGGTAACGTGATTTTGGCTAAAAACTTTACAATCACAATTTAACAACCACTGAGAACACTTTAAGTAGTAAAAAAATGACTGGAGTGGGACTTTAAACCCACTTTTGAGAGGATAAATAGTTAGCTCTAGTGTCCCAGAGCCAACCCTCATCATGCTATCTTACACTTCCTATCACACCTACATGCATAAAGCAAAAGAAAACAAACAAATCAGCAGATATCCAAAACAGAAAGATAGATGGAGGACAGAAAATAAAGACAAGGAAAGAAAATAATAAGAAAGATGACACAAAAGACACAAAGAAAGCTTGCAGAGGGGTTAGTGAATCTTGGTGCATCATTTTAATTGATGTGGTTACTTACACATGCTGGACTTAAATAATGTTTGTTTGTTTTGTTTTTTTATCATTTACACGATCCCAAAAATACAAACACAAAGAGTAATAAGAGCAATCTGCTCCAGCTGCTTAAAAACATTTACATCATACATGTATGGGGCCGAGTGCATTACATCTTCACCTGAAAACAGGCGTGAAAGCCATTGCACACCTGTCCCTTTGTTCTTCCCCTCGGAGTGATGTTTACTGAACCTGAAGGGAAAACTCGCTTCATCTCCACCCTCTGGTTTAATTTATGTGTAAATCAGACAGCAGCCGAGCATGCTGCAGCTCTCAATTTCACAAGTGTTTGAAACTCAAATGGAAAGTCAATAAAATCAATGCCATTTTTTGATAAAAGGCCAAAGAAGCTCTTGAATCTGACAGCCATGAGGTTCTAAAATAAGTACAGGGGGAGGTGAGAGATGTTTGCAGACGAAGGATGGTAGAGGCACAGTACTTAGTGAAGGATTAAAGATTAAAAACCAACATATGTATGATAATGTATGTAATCTTAAATGATCAAAACCACACCTGCTGCCCTCTTGTTCAAATGACTACGCTCTGGAGACCTCTCTCGAAAATGTCAGTGTGTGGCTGCAGCTGAGATAAAGACAGAGAGTTTTGCCAGTCAGTGCTTCCAGCAGAAACATATGGATACAGCGTGTTGTTATGTCTGCATGCAAAAGTCAGAGAAAATCAGGGTTTGTCCTGCATGTTGATGCTGCAAACACAGCAGACTCTAAAGAAGCGGGCAGTCTCCAAATATTTGCCCTACTCTCCTCCTAGCTGACTAAAGGTGGACTGTTGTGTTCCTCCGATTTCCAGCAGCCAATTTACCATGACTGACAGACACATTTCAACAAAAACTTCCCTCTTCCCTCCAAAACAAGCCTGTGCTTTTCCTTTCAGTCTGTCAAAAGGAGACTTCCAGAGCTGTAACCCTCCCTTACTGCAGTGTCAGTCATGGGGGGGTGGGAGGTCACCGCGGCACAAACCCACCAGACTCCACATGTGTGTTTTTACTCCAAAAGCCTTCAGAGCATTTTGCATTATCTACAGCCACAAGACCTGGAAAGTAAAAGTCTGAGCGGGAGGTCACCTGAGGTGTTGGCAGGAAAACAGAGAGAAGGTTTAAGCGTCCTTCTTCTGCGTCTCATTAGAGGAGAGATGAAGAAGGTAAAGACATGTTTCCAAATCATTATAAATCATTCCACCTAGATCTAAATTCAATCAGTCTGCTAACTTTTCCAGGGACCGTCTCTCCTTCAGCCCTCCTCACTGCGCCTCCTTCTCTTCTGAAAACCAGGGCTTCACCTTTATCAGGAGCTATCTCCTCATTAGATACCCACGGCTGTCTGTCTGTAGAAAGAAACAGAATGAGGAAAAGAGACAAAAAGAGGCAGAACAGTCTCTGGTGTTGTTCAAGCCTTCCCGACATGACGTACAGCCGGCTAAATTTGAATCACTAATGTCTCCAGAGGCGACAGAACCCAGCACAGGGACCGAGGGTCAGGAGGAGAGGTTGAGCCTGTATCCTCCTGCCTCCCACAATGATCTAACCACCTTTACGCCTCTTTGACACTCTATTACAGGAAACAAAAGAGTAAGAAATACAGGAGACAAAAGAGGGCAAAGATGGATGGAGGGAAAAGATGTGGTAAAGTGTGATGTGAAGAGTGGGAGGCAGGGAGATGAAAGGAATAGAGGAAAAAGAGGAGAAGAAGAGGATGAGATTGGGTTTGAATGAGAGATAAGATGGAGAGGGGAGAAAGAGGGAGAGAGAGAGAGCGAGACGGGCTCTAGGGCAATGGGGCTCTCTCAGATGCAGGATGAGACCATCTGGACGATAGCGGAGCCAGGTCTGTGACGGTAAACACTGGGCTCCACTTTCACACAGAAAAGAGAGATTCAAACACTCGCTCTACACTTTCATACGAACATCTCCCCCCTACCCCCCCAAAAAAAAAGACAGAAAAAAGAGAACAACTCCACCCACCCTCCTGCCCACGTGTTGGAGGAAAACAGCACCAGACCTGGATATTAGAGGAGTCATTACTACACACTCGCTTTAAGATTGACTTAATGCACTTTAAAGGTGTGTGTGTGTGTGTGTGTGTGTGTGTGTGTGTGTGTGTGTGTGTGTGTGTGTGTGTGTGTGTGTGTGTGTGTGTGTGTGTGTGTGTATCAGGTCTGTGATTTACTTTCAGAGAATGAACTCAGCAGACCTCTAAGGTCACCCAGAGCTGCTCTCCACAATCTTCCCTGAGGTTAAAAAATAGTAAAACTGAAGTTATTATGCTCCACACGTACACAGGGAAAAAAATCTATTGGGCTACTTTTAGATCTAGAAAAAAAATAGCGAAAATGCTCCCTGTCTTTTTTATTTATCTACATTCTGCTCTCATTTAATCTCATTCTGTAGTACACCGTTTTTATATTAAGCACATTGATTTTTCCTCGTGTACGACGATATGTGCTTTATAAATCAGGTTTGCCTCGCTTTGCTTGTTCATCAGCAGCAGCAGCTAATTACAGAAGTACAACGGGTGTCGTCTGGGGGAGGAACAGCCACAGGGGACTTGAACCAGCAACCCCTTCCTCAACTGCAACCCCCTCCCTCCAAGATGAGTGAATGAATTCAGTGAGAGAATCAAATCCGTTGACTGCAGCTCATCCTCCCCTACAACGAGGCTCATCCTCAAAATTACATCCCAACGAGACACGCCTGCACAAACACACACACACACACACACACACACACACACACACACACTAACCCCCTTCCCACATGGCTTTGGAGAAGCTGCACTGCCCCTCCTATCCCTCTGTCAATAAGCCCAGTTTGGAAACACTTTAAACAGACTTGCACATTTCTTTGCTACAAAAAAGGAAAAAAACTTGAAGACATGCTCTCTTCCATACCCGCAGGGTTAATTAGAATTGTTTTAAACAGCCACTGCCACGCTTTTTAAACATTTATGGGTGCATGCATTACAACTAAGGCATTAACATATCCGGAAAGTTTAACCTCTTCTCGGCACCGCTCTGTTATGAGGAGCAGAGAGGGACCAAAGAGAGAAAGAGAGTGAGAGAGAGAGGCAGAGAAAGGAGGAGAGGACAGTTGACCTCTGCTGCCCCCTGTGTTACAGCTGAAAAACAACAAGGGAGTTTTCAATGAGGAGCAGCAGCAGCCCGCTTTGGATCAGAGGACTCAGAGCCAAGACGCCATGCCGGCTGAATGACAATCAGTTCGTATGTTAGCGCTGAGAGGGAAAGAGAGAAAGAGGGGGAAATATCTGAACCCAGAGGCAGTGTAGTACCAATAAAAACATACATTATTCACTAACAGGACATACAATGAGTAGTAGTGATGCATAAAAAGAGGCAGCTGTGATCACTCCGAGGGGAAAAACATCACAAATGAAATATAAATGCAGGTTTTGAACACTTTTCTTTTCTAAGGTTCAATTAAAGGGATTCATTCTGGGATAATTAAAGCAGGTCTGCTAATGCACACACATTTCAGCATCAGCGTGATCCTACGTGAAGACTGGCTGGAAATAGAAATCAGTGTTTGTCTGCAACGGTTTAATATCTGATTTGATGAATAATACTTCTGATCTCGCAGTATAATCAGGATTATCATTTTTAAATGAGCAGCCTGTGCTGTGGATTTTTTTGGGGGGTGGGGGAGATTTAGAGCTAAAAATTGAACAGCGTGAGCTCTGTTGAACAAATAACCAAAGTTCAGAGAAGGCTTACCTCACAGAGAAGTGTTGGTCTAGTCCAGTGGGAAGTTTTCTTCAAGTTTCAGTACTTCTCCTGGATGAAGCTCTCTAGTTCCCTGGGCAAACAAACACAGACAAACACAGAGAAAGAAGATTATTTGGAGACTTTTCACAACATGATTAAGCCCTGCATGTGTGCGAAAGAGAAGTTTGTAATGAGTCATGGCCATAAGCAGCCGAGGAACAATGGCTAAAGAGGCTGGGAGCAGGAAATGTTGCCTGTAGGGGGCTTTTAACACTTCAGAGGAAGACGAGAATCTCTCTTTCTCTCTGCCTCTTTCACTCTGTGTATCTGCTCGCTGCCACATAAAGACGAGTGGTAAACATGAGACAGAACTGCTGCGCCTCTTTGGCCAAGAAGTGAGAAATTGCAGGGATCAAAGCGGTCCAATTATCATGTGTTTATGGAGTGCCAATTATCTCTGACAGTGGCAGGAAGGATTCGGTAACACTCAGTTGCACTACAAAGGCTCAGGAAAAAGGTGCCGCAGTTCTTGTGTGTACGATCGTCGCGCTGTGGGGGCGGTGTGCAGCTATCTACAGTCACCAAACAGCCACAAATGCTCACATGCAAGGTCAAAGGATAATGACTGCAGGCTAGGGCCACCACCGAGATCACAGCAAATTAGAGCTAATTGCAAAAAGAAAGAAAGCAAAGCACTGAAGCATAAATCCTTCAAGCTACTGGAGCGCTCTTGGAGGGATGTAACACCATTCTTTGGAGAAATTACATCATTCACGATTTTGTTAATGAGAGATTATAACTCCCAGGGCTCTGCTCTGAGATTTCTGAATGTGTTCAGCTGAGACTAGCTTCAATGACAGACCTCTTTTAGCCGATTTTTAGAGGAAGCCATGTTTCACCACATGACGCCAGTGGTAGCTTAAAGCTGCATATGCCTGCTGTCATATCCTCTGTCCTGTTGAAGGTTAAAAATACATCAAACCATGAAAGAGACAAGGCAGAAGCTACAAAGGAAGCACTAAGAGCTAATTTATGATTTGAGTCATTTTACATTTTTAGACGATCACAAAGAGATCCTCCTTGAATGATGTGAACATCCATCTGCATGATTGGATTGTGTTAACAAAGAGAAACCCAGCAAAACACCAGGAACAATCACCTAAAAGACCAGAAGGGTTGTCTGAGGATCATTTATCCACAGTGAAAAAAAGTTGAAGTGATTTGTCTTCAGTTCACAAACTTTATATCAACTCCCTGTATGTGGTGAGATTTTAAATTGATTTAGAGGAATACAGAGTGTGTACCTTCCACTACTTGTTCTCCTACTATTTTCTGACCAATAGCACACTTTATAGTTTCTGCTAACAGCTCCCTTTAAATGTAGCCTTTTCCAACCAATCAGCTAAACTTGACAAGACTTGAGCACCAAAGGCATAGTTTATCAACTAATGCTGCCCACTCCCTCTCTGTGAATTTGACTGAAGATTTCCTGTGTTCTCACACAGCTAGGGCTGCATGGTTTTGGCCAAAAGTAAAATCCCAATTTTTTTCTTTGACAACTCGATTTTTTATTCAGCGATAACTTCACCAAACTTATCTTTATTAAAATGTGTACTCATCATCTCTCAAAACGAAACCATTAAAAAAATGTTGTGCATATGCCAAGCCAGTAAGTGGCACTGTAACTCTGCCCGGGAAATGCACAAAAGACAGAAGAAGAGTACAGACTATGCGTATAAAGGTTGTTTTGGCCAGACATGTGCAGTCGCCATAAAAGAGTTGCAGATAGTCATCCACACAGAGATGAAATGGTAGTCATTGACGGATGTATGCACTGTCTGACCCATTTTCAAAAAGTACAGTTTACAGTCACCTTCCATGCGGATGAAATGCAGTTATGGCAAAAATCTTTGGCGTTTACAACTGAATTGGTTTTTCTGTAGACGGGTTGATACCGCCTTCAGACAGACCTTGCAGCGAGGAGCGGTTTGCTCTTCATCCGAAACTGCGAAGCCGTACCAATTCCACATGACTGACTTGCTTTTGCCCTATTTAGCCATGAAATTATTTCCTTCTTTTGCAAACACCATGTTTGTTTACACTGGTGTGTGCGGGAACTGGGGAGCACTCCCGCAGGAAGGGGGAGCCTATGGGGGCCTGGAGGCATGAGACATGATAGAGAGGAATGATTGACGATTTTAATTTTTTTTAACATTGTCATAATCAAATAATCTGATTGATTTAAAATCAATTAATCGTGCAGCCCTACACACAGGCTCACTCCAACTTGACCACACATTTGTATGAAGACTGACAGGCAGGAGAAACTCCAGGCTCATTCAGGGTGAACATTTTTACCACAGCTCACCTGAGTTCTTTCAGAAAAAGTTTCATAAGTTTTGCTGAAGTGTAATGGCAGCAGCAGCAGAGTGAGGATAGTGCAGTTCCCAGCAGGTTATGGTTTAATAGACATCTTATTTCAACCTTTACTTTTCAGTGATGGCTACAAGTGTCAGATTTAGAAAGTTTGAGTCATTTCACTGGATGACTATTACACAGAGTGCATTTAGAGATGAAGAGATGGTGTGCCTGTGCCTTCAGAGGACTGTGCCAGCTGCTCAGAGCAGGTTTCATGTCTGTGACAGATTGAGAGTATTTTAACTTAAAATGTGATGTTTTTTTTTTCTTCTATCTTTCTTTTATGATCTAATTCTATTGTTTTCTATTTTAGTGTTTTCCTTTTGTTTAATGCCACTGCTCTAGGGTTCAAATGGAGCTTAACGCATAATTTGCCCTCCCCCTCCTTTTAAAGGGACACTTCACAAATGTTCAAATTCCTCTATTTTGAAATTTGAGCCCTATTTAATGTACAGTCACTGGTGTCTTGATGACAAATGGGAACAAAACGTTCTTGAAAGGCCTCAGTAGATGGCTTCAGATGGCACCCAAGAGACCGGCTGTAATGACACAACAGAAGCCTTCGGGGCAAATGAGCCTGGCTGAAGAATTTCCAGGAAAAACTGCTCATATGATGGGCTGATATTGGAGTGAGCTTCGTCTGTGTGAGTCATTAACTGCTTATGAATATGGACACCGTGCCTCCATCTCCTCCCATTGTGCGATGTGGAGCCATAACACTGCCTCCATGGGCGCTGGCATATTGCACTGGTGAAGCTGAGGCATGCACAGAAGTGATCTGACAGCCATGGGACTGACAGGACTGTCCTCTCCACATCTCCCCAGCAAAATACTCATTGAACTTAATGATAAGACATCGGGTTATTGTGCTGATTGATGCAGAAACTTGAGTTAATAAAAAGTTCAGTGACTCTTGAATACTCTTGAATACATTATCTCCTCTTCTCTACTTAAAGACCCACTTTTCTTGTTGTCTACATGTTCATGTGGCATTTTTTCTGATGCTACAGGACATATCATGAGAAAATTAAGTGAAAAATTGCATTTCTGAGTATTTCTTCATTCAAATCATTGTGAATCTATCACAGACCCAAATGGCAGGCCCAGATACAATGAGATTTCCTACACCACAAATCCAAGCTCCACCCCCAGAGCTCTGCTAAACTGGCCAGACTCAGAGAAAAAGAGAGGATGATCACGGAACAAGTGTGTGCGTTAGCAGATTGCAATGCTCGTAAAAAAAAAAAAGCTTATGATTTTAACATTCATCATGTCTTCAAAGACATTAGTGTCCGAGAGCTGAATAGCTCCTATGTTACCTGCCACTTCCACTGCGCTAGGCTGCAAGCTAACATACAGAGAAGTGTGCAGAGCAGTGCTGTCTCCGCCCACGACTCAGAGACAAATTGCTAATGAGCTACAGGAGCTCTGCAGAACAAAAGCCCTTTAAAATGGCACAGGTAACGTAATTTTGGCTAAAAACTTTGTCAATAATCACAATTTAAAGACCACTGAGAACACTTGAAGTAGAAAAAAATGATTGGAGTGGGCCTTTCAGTGCACTGAGGTAGCTCCTTTTTGTCCTTCTCAAGATCAAATAACTAAACAAAACCAAACGTTTCTGAAAATTAACACTTACATATAGATCAGCATGATAAGATTTCAATTTAATTTTAACGTTTGACTTATGATCCTTCTATTCAAACGAAGGAGGTGGACCTTTACTGCAGCCAGCCACAAGGGGAACCTTTCATGCTGTTTGCTAATATACGTGAGTCTTTTTCTTTGACTGTGAAGGAGTGTCTTATAGGCACTAAACAGGAGGGATGCTCCTATCTTTATAATACATTTTCAGCATAATGACAACAAAGAGGTTCAGATGTTGTGATTCTTCAGAAAAGAAAATCTGTGCAAAGACAAGCAATGTTCTTGTCAAAGCAGCTGTAAAGGAATTTGCTGTTTTGTCTTTATTTTAGCACCCCCTGCAGGCCAAGCCATGTACATTATCCTCTCACTGATTCTGTTCTGTATTTGCACAAAAATCTCTTAATTGGCTAACTTACTTCACTTGTTTAAAAAAATAGCACATAGATAAAAACAGTTTTCTCATAAGGTTATGGCTTAGTTGCATTCGTCTATCATATGTATATTAATAAGAAAAATTGAGCTTGTATATCAATAACCAGTTGAAAAAGTCCTGACAACAGATTAAAGATGAGCTGAAATGCTTCAAAAGCCTGAGTTCTGTAAGATAAAATTACTGTCTTTTAGCAGTGGAGTCCTGGGGGGATTGAAGGGAGCAATAAAATTGCTTTTTCTAGTTGAAAAAAAACAACTTAGCTTAATAAAAGGTCTGTCTGGGTAGAAATCGTTTCTGTAATATTGTCTAAAAGTTTTAGTCACAGTCCAAGACCGTCAGCAACTAAAGAAGAACTTTTTGTCTATCGAAATAAGAAACTTACTTGTCCACTTGTTTTAAGGGCAGGTAGTATTCAAAGCCTCCTGTAAACCCCTCAGTCCTCACAAACCAAGAGGTCATTCCCGCTCAGGCTTATTCAGCCGCAGCCTGTGTGCACTACATGTGTCTCACCACAGCAGTTCAAACACATTTCCCTTCAGGCTGCTCTTGCATAGATCCCCACAGCAGATCTGCTGACAGATCGCAGCGGGAGGCACAGAGATGAAGTGTCAATGCAGCTGCAAGATCCCGTGTCAAATCCCCTGTTTGGATCTGAGGGAGAAGGCAGCCAAAGAGGGGATTGTCAGAGGAGTGCAGTGCATATGCAGTTATCCCCACCACTGCTCATGCAGGAGGTTCTTCACTGTAATCCCTTTGCCTCTAGAGACTGTGCAGGGTGAAGCTGACAGAAATCCCTGTGCAAACATACACCCACGTGTAAGTATGCATGCAAGCCAATGCACAAAAATGACAAATCTATGCATTCTGCTTTTTCACTCTCTATTCAGTCATCTGCCGGTGCATAAAAAAAGGGAGAGTGTGAGTGTTTCCAAAAGAGCACTGAGTGCGCCAAAGAGTCAAATTTTTGTGACTTTGGTGCACTGTACAGTCTGTGACAAGGTAAACACTAAGAAATCAACGTACTACCTGGATTTATGTGAAGGAACTCCTCTTTATTCTCTGACCTTCAGCCCCCTTTTCATGTCTTTTGAACATGTTTGATAAGAACTAGCATGTGAGACCAAAATAAGCCCCCTTGGCTCAGAATCTCCTTGTGAAGTTGTGTTATTTGGGTATGAAACAAGATGAGCAGCGATGAGTGAGGACTTCCCCAGTGGCGGTGTCTGAAGCAAAACTCAGGGTGTGAGGAAAGAGGCTGGCAGGGGAGTGAGACTTTTTTGGTGGGGGAAGCGAGCCAAGAGGAAGAGTTGGGGAGAGGTGAAAGAAGCTCCAGCAGACTGAGAGGAAAAGGGGAAAAGGAAGGTGAGACTTCTTCAGCGCTTACTTGTGACAGTGAGGTGCCAGTATGTGTGTGAGTGTGAGTGTGTGTGTATGTGCACATGATGAGTGTGAGTGTGTTTAAATGTATGTGTGCTGAGCTCAGCTAATGCCATGCTGCCATCCCTACTGGGGCATCAGAGACCTGTACTGGCAGAGAATCAACTGCAGGTCAGATCTCTGGCACTCACTCTCTCAACGAGCCGGCCGAGGTGGCGGGAGTGCAAGCGCTCTGCCAGAATACCAAAAAAGAGCTGGACAGAGGTGGAGGGGGGTGGTGCAAGTGAGATATCCGAGGGGAAAAGAGTGAGTGATGAAAAAGAGTGGATGGAAAGAGAGATTAACAAGTCAAAGCAGGGGGAGATTATGTTATACCTCATTAGCATGTGGAGGAAATCACAGTTATGTACAACGCGTAGACACTAAAAACACTAAAATGATGCTTAGGTCTTTAATATTCTGCTAAACACTTCAAAAGCAGGTTTCAACCTAGTTGAAAAAGACTGAAGGTGATGAAGAAGGTGAAGAAAATTAGTGTCTAAGCAGGAGGCGAAGGAGGGGAAGAGGGAGCAATGTGGCACAGTGTTTAAGCGAGCAGGGCATCCATATTCAGGCGCAGGGCTCAGGGGCACAGTTGGCACTCAGAATGAGAAAGTGGCCAGGATAGGAGCTGGCATGTGGAAAAGTAACAGCCAACACGGCAGCCAGAGTCAACATCTCACTTGCTGTCCGTCACTCTTTTGGACTTGCCTTTTACAGCTTTAACTGAAGCAAATCCAACTTGTTAACCACAACTCACACCATGTGTTTATAGTAACTTTTTAAGAACTTCTTGTGCCAGACTTCAGTCTTTGCTTTTAGTTGTATGAAGAACAATGACATGTCTTTGCCTCTTCATGTTGAGATTCCAAAGCTTTATACTGACCTATTGTGTGGGTGATTAGAGAATGCTGCAGAAATGAGCTGAGCCGCTTGTGCACAGCACTGTTTTGGATATCGACCATTGCTGCAGAGGCAACTCAGCATCTGCCTCTGTCTGCAGACTATGAAAGCAGAACGGATAGCTGGATTAAAAATCTCTAGACAAATGATGTTAGTATCATTTAAAGTTATCATAGAGATTTAGGGACTACATATAGAGGAATGAAGACAGGAGTTAACTGTATCTGCTGCACATTTGTGTTGTTACAATGTTTACCATGCAAGGTACAATATTCAACAGCTGCATTTAATGACAACAGACTAGTTCAATCAGCAAATACACTTTCATCATTTATGATCATTTGCAACCACAACTGAGCTGTAATAATTATAAGCAGCTACTTAATTAGCATGCTAGCAAGATGAGAAAGGTTATTTACAGGATCGTTTCAGTCATCACCTGTGGATCGATTAGAAAATACATGAAGAAGGAAGAGGCAAACTTATCAGTAATTATAATAGTTTTGACTCTTTTCTTGTTTGTCTTCTGTGCAGCCTGTTCAGGTCGTTACACACCAGTGAGTTTGTAAAGCGAATAATTTGCTTTTTGTAGCACCTCTTAAAGTCAATCCAAGCTTCCACATGTTTTGAGAAGACTCCACGGCAGAAATGGCAGCTTGTTATCTAGTTCATCTACTATCCAACAAAACCAACTCAACTTCAGAGAAAAATGAGATAAAGCCGTACAAAAATGTTCATGATGGTCGTGTTAGGGTGGAAATAATGATAGTGGAGACCTGACAGTGAACTTGTAGATGGGAGTGATGGTTGAACCAGTCTGTATGAATGGTACCTCTCACCTTTGCTTTGATGATGAAGAACTTTAAGCATTCCACCTCTCAAACAGATTGTTGGATCAAAAATCTGTACATCTGTCTGTACTTGTGGCGGGGGTGCAAGGGGAGGGATCCTCACCTCGATGTATGTGAAGATCCCCAAAGAGAAGCTCTGGTGATGATTCGGCTGTTTGAAGCAGTTGAAATGGAGTTGCAGATGCTGTGTAAGGGATTCAAGTGCCCAAAACTTTAAGTTTCCCTTCGTTACTCCCTAAAGTTACTTTGTACTGAAATAGTACCTATTTTGAAGCAAGAGCCAAAGATGTTGCTCTAGGCGTAGGTTGCTGTAAGAGGACATGTTGTCTAGAGAGCTGAGGGCTGACTTCTCTGTTCAACAAGTCTGTATAAAATCATGGATGACATTAGTGGTTCTTATGGAGGGAAAAATAGTAGTTGTTGAAGTAGAAAATGAGGGTTGACGTTACATTCAGCCATCCTCCCTGCTAACAGTCGTCAAACCACTTCCTGAATACCTTCATGTCACTATAACAGCAGAGTTTAGAAACACTCTTTCAAACTTTTTTTCCAATTCCTCCCGACACACAGATTCAAACTTGCTGGCATAAAGCAGACAGTTACACACATTAACATGACACAAAGTCTTTCAGGGGAGAAAATCTAATCTCTACTGAAGATTGAGCTCTATAAGCTAGTGTCAGCACAAACATGGCTATTGACATTCTTTCTAGCCATGTCAATACCATCTGATTATGTAAAGACTGACCAATGGCTTCAACTCTATTAGCCGTGCTTGGCTCTCCCACACTGAATGCCTGATCACCTCCATCAGTTACTGAGGGCAACCGACTCTGACAAGCCCACAACCAGAGCTTCAATTAAGTGAGCCAAGAGAAGGAAAAGCACTGAATCTCCTGCTACAAAATATTGAAGCAGCCCACACCAAAAACATGCTGTAACTAGACTCTCAGGCCAACTCATAGGCACATAAGCTCCCTTAGCCTTTGGCTACAACACAACAAAACCATTGTCTGTAGGGGAGACTTAACAAGGAGGCTATTTGAATACAAAACAGCTTGCGGCAGAGGATGAGAACTTTCCATCTATCCTCCAAGCTGTCAGACAGGAGTCTGTAGGGGGGCAGATGTTTTCACTGGCAAAGGGAGGAGGGGTAGGTGGGAGTGTGGGGGGTGTCAGGAGACAAGTTACAACCTACCTAACAGCCTCAGAGGAGAGAACCAGCACATTAAGCCAGGGAGAGAAATGATGTGGCCAAGTCGGGTGTACAGTGTGGGGAGGAGGGCTGCTGGGTTTCCAGCGCTGCATGAATCCATCTCCATTAGCAAGTGCGGACCATCAGAGGATGCAAACGCAGATGCGCACTCTCCAGTGGTGGTGGGGGCTTAAGGGCTGACTAATGCAGATGTGCTCTTTCATCACATAATGCTAAGCTTGAAGCAGCCTTCAAATCTCAGACTCTGTTTATATGTCATCCTTAAAGTAGCGCAGGGATTCTTCAATTCTCTCTATGAACACGTCTGCGAGCACGGACACAGATATAAACAAGATACTTCAGTGACAGAGGTCTGCTAGTAAATATGTTTACCTCAGCTGAAACCTTTTCAAACTTTCCTCGCTGATAAAATCATCGTTCTTCACCCTAACTGTTCTGGTTACATTTCTTCACATACACTGCATTCAGATTTGTCCCCTAAGTGACAAAGTGTAAAAGCAGATTGAACAGTGACCTGCCCAACAAATGGCCTACAATCACCCAGCCTTCTTAATTAAGGCCTTTTGTTTTTATTTGGCCTTTTTTCCTCCCGGCTTGGATTAAATTGGATTCTAAATGATCCAGAACCGATAGAGCAATCTTTACTGCCATATTCTTAGACCGAGTGTTCACTAAACTGTCACAAATATGCTGCCAGTTGGGTAATTTTCTCCTGTGACAGGGCAGGCGAAGTGGAGGGCCCAGGTCTCCCCAGGGGGATTGTGGGAAGATTGGAGGAGGGCATATGGCAAGAATGGGATGGGGCTTGCACCATAGAGCACGTCGTTTATAGCCCAAAGCCCCTGGAGACACAAAAAGAGAAGAGGAGAGGAAAATGAGATCGTCTTCACTTTGCTCGGTGTTCCCCGCATTCAGGCTCTTCTAGGGTCATTTTAGGGAGCGATGCACATGAAATGGCCAAGCAGGGAAGTCAAAAACCTCAGAAAAATGTTTATTGCTCGTACAGCGCGCAAATCCTCTCTGTTACACCACACAGCCAGCAGCGTACAGTAATGCAGCCAGAAGATACCGCTTTAAGGTTTTCCTATACCCTTCACTGAGAGTAAAGATGAGGTTTGCTAGCATTACAGGAGAAAGCGGAGTAAAGAAAGATAAAAGAAAAAGAAAATGACATTGTGAATGTGAAAGAGAGGAGGGGAAAATGACAGTGTGAAAGTATACATGGGGCAGGGGGTGTCAAGTTCACATGGGGAAATGTTTCTCAGCAGGAAAAATGATTTCCCTCTCTACACAACCTGCACCGCAGGGGTTGTACACAGCCTCACTGCATACGCCTCCAATTCAAAACACACTTCCGCCTACCACCTCTTACCCCCTTATCCCTACCTCCCACGCCCTCCTTCTCCCCTCACTCTCTCCTCCTTCCTCTGCGCTTCCTGTACAGGGTGCTGCGGGGGATCAGGAGAGAGGGAGGCGTCCAGAAAGCTGATAAACCAGGAAGCGGTCACATCTGGCCCACACTAATTCAATTCCACACAAGTTTGCTTTTTCCTCCCCATAACATAACCTAATTAAAAATTGCAGGAATTGGAGGCGCATTCATTTCCAATTCATCAACGGGAAGGGAGACGGACGAAGACTTCTAAAAAGGTTGGGTCTTTTTTAATTAAAATCAAAATTGCCCCACGCTACTTTGAATTATATATTTACGAGCAATGAATCCTACCAGCAGTGATTACACAGGCCCATATGGCTGTCAATACCTCCCCTTATTGGACACACTCACAGTATTAGACACACTCCCCACTGCCCACATTTACACATTTCTGTGCCCCAAAGACACAGGTGTGACAGGAGTTTTTCATTTCCAACCTCTTCAACTAACAGATATCCTACTGCTGAACACACACTCCCTCACAGGTTGGGCCTGCCTTTACCATCTGTGTTGTCTTAATTTCAGGGATGAGTTAGAAACATTTTAGAGCTTTAGCCGAATCAATGAGACTTACAAGGACTTCTGTCTAGAAAGCTACAAACCTTCAACTCTGTACGGAGTTCACTTTCAGCTGACTAACAGCTCTCTTACACACTGCTAAAGGAAACGTGGTGTTTGGATCTCTACTTCTCCCAATAATGGTTCTATTTTTCAGTATGACTATATCACTTATTCTGTTAAGGCTGTAAGAAACACTCTTCATGCCTTGTCAGCATTTCCAACCTCAGAGAATCTCTCACCTATGTTGCATGGCCATGAGAGCTGCTTAACGTAGGGGAGACTGGGGACAGTTGCAACACTTTTTGCTTCTCTTTCAATTACTCAGAGATGATTTGGACTAGACCAACCATTTATTTATATGGTAAATTTTTGTTTCTCTGACCCCATCCCTGGGACAGTTGCAACATGTCACAGATCCATTCAGTTTCAAAAAGTTGTGATGATGATGTATATTGTATATTTTATAATTGTATATTAATGATAATTTAATATAAAAAATGTTACAGTATTATTTATTCATTAATCTGATATTCAATATTGAGTTTTGTTTTTTTCTGCATAAAACATAGGCTTACCTTGAGTATATGTGCAGATGTTACAGATTTTAATTTTAGTAAGTGGATTGTGAATTCTACCTTTATGCACTAGCGTGTGGTGGTCAGCCATGACAGGACACCATGTACTAACTAAACTCACTGTTTTTAACAAATGCTAACCATGTAACTTGGTTAAATTAAACAGTCAGGATGGTATGACAAAAACACACTACATGAAAAAAAAACTACTTTCATACATCAAAAACATTTTTTTCCCCCAATAAATCCAGATTGATGCTAAATGTAATGTGTCTTTTGTCCTGCAGGTGAGGGTGGGGGGTGGGGGGGTTCCAACTTAGCATCTGCAGTATCAGTGTCATCAATCTCAACTCAACTCAACTTTATTTGTTAAGCACTTTAAAACAACCACAGCTGAACAAAGTGCTGTACAAGACAAAACAACATAGAGGATCTAGCATGTTTCTGATTGCAGGAATAAGCCTTGTTGCAACTGTCCCTGGTCTCCCCTTCTTCTACCACCTATAGCAATGACCATTTGGCACATTTTGATAATACAGGTATTGTACATTGTATATTATACATTAAATTTCCCTTCAGAGATAAATACATTCTATCTTCTTCTTTTCTTCTATTGACAGCAACTATTGTCATTAGAATATGACATATTAATAACGAGCTGACAATATTAGAAAACTACAAAACTGTGAGTTCATAGTTGAGGTCCTGTATACTGGTCGACACACGTCATACAACACTGGAGAGATGACAGTGAAGCAGCTCTCCTAGAGATGATTCAGCACTTTGAAAACTAAAATCCTATCACTTGTTGAAAAATCCAGATGCAATTTTAGAGTTTTTGCCTACCCAGGTTTCTAGTCAATCAAACATTTATACTTTTTTGACCCTTCTGCTAGCTGTTTTAGTTTAGTTTTTTAACTTACAATCTACTGAAGTAGCTTTGACTTCAAAATAAATAAAAGGTTTTGTAGGAAATTAAATAACATGAATGCAGGACAGAAAAAATATCAAAATAAAAGGATGGCGAATAATTTTCAAAAGAATAAAAAAAAAAACCCTGCAACTTATGACCTGGAAATTATGAGTAAAAATTATACCTTCTGTGGTACAGTTGTTACCTATTACTGTCTCCTTGGTCATCATTACAGATGAAGTTCATACCATAAGGTCCAACCTCTTCTTGGTTTGTAATGGAGGAGTGACACTGAGAAATAAATCCAGCGACAAAAAAAAAAAAAAAAAAAGAAACTCAAAAACACTGAGCTGCATTGGTTTTGTAGCTCTTACAGTCATGTTTAACAATCTCATTCTCAACCTATTTTCTTCAAAAATGATGGTTTCCGTCCTTACTTGGTGGTCAAAGTGTTGTTCATGACACAACAGCATCCTAAAATCCTGCAGATGAAAATAGCAATATTTCAGAAAAAGACATTTATGCCGCTGACATGAAAAATTTTCACCAACAGTATACTTGTGACAATGGTCGCTGCGATATCAGGAGTCAGTGATTGTCAACTTATTCCTCGGGATCAAAAACACTGGCATGGTGTCCACAAAGGCAGTGTGACAGCAGCTGTTATACTGCTGAGCTTTATAAAAAATTACATTTCAAGTTGACTCATTTCTCCTGATAAATTATCTCTCTTACATAATGTCTCTGAGCAGAGGTGTACTGGAGAGGGGGGACTTAGGGCCCATGAATGACAGAGACCCTTAAATATCTGCAGTTGTGAAGTGGGGTGGGGGGCTGACATATTTCTGCTGAGCTCAAAATTTCTAGCGCTGCCCCTGTTGTTATATAATGGAAATATCTATCACAACTCAAGTTAAAATAACCAATCTGAGATGATTTGAGATGAGACTGCTAATCTGCTCAGCTCTTTGTGGTGTTTGTAATGTACTGTTTAGTTCAGCAATTAGACAAGAAGTCATTTACACTGCATACAAATCATTGACCAGTGTATAAGTTGTCAACATTTGTTAGTTATACAGATATTATATTGCCAAATTCATGATTTACTCACAGTTTTCACAAACATGTTACCCATTAGACGTCCTTATTAGATGACTGCTTTAAATCACGTGACCTACAAATGATAAAATAATCGTTATCTTGTGAAAAGAAGCAAACATGCATGTTTTCTTATTCAAGAACCACACTCTACTTATTCACTGTATATTGAAAAATTACACTCACATAGTCTTACAGACATCTTAGATCAAACATATTGGACCAAAGACGGCAACACATACACATGGAGGATATCAATATGTCGATGTCAAGCCTACACGGGAAAGAAAGGAAACCCCTCTGCCTCTGAATTCTCACTGTGTCTGTATCATCCCGGTATCATAGCCGAGACTTTAACAAAACATCAATTATCTGACAAACATCTTCCTCTGACGGATGCAGTTTTCTTGCTAACCTCCCTGAACTTCAAATGAAAGGAGATAATCCTACAGCTGCTGTAGATCCAGTGCTCAGAATGCCAAAATACAATCTTTTATAACAGAAATACATCAGGCGCATGAAGGATATAATTTACCCAGGAGTTTCTTTCCCCCTTTTTCTAAAGATTTGCTGTGTTCAGTACATCAATGCTACGGCTGAGTCATAGTCTTTTTTATGTTTACAGAGAGCAATTTTACAGACAAATCATAGCTTTCCTCAGTGCATTCCTAACATATGGTTTGTTTGTTGCACAGGCTGCTACAAAGTCTTATATCAGTGGCATGAAACACATTATGATGGCCATGTCATATCTTACCTAAAGCTGCATCTATGCTATACCTTCTAAGACAAACACTTTATGAAAAACAGCAACAATCTGTGCGGGAGCTTTCAAGACTCAATATCGCCAAGAAAAAAAGGGAATAAATGCAGACATTTTTTGAAGTAAAATCAATTAAGTGAGCAGTTAAAAAAAACAGCAGGGAGATGAAAAAACAGAGAAGTTGTGAATGCATCATCAGCATTTCAGAGTTTGTTATACTGCCAGATATTGTCAGTTTCAAAGTGTTTTTTTGCATGTAGATAACAAACCTTACATTTTTGACAGCTTCTCATTAATTTAGCACAATGACTTCAGCATTAACGTTACATTTTGTGCCTTCTTGTTGCAATGCCTGATGGTGCTGGGCTGACCTGTGGTGCACTTTGGATCCCATTTCTCTAACAAGCATCTCATCGTAGAAACAGGCAATGATGCTCCTGACAGCGAGGTACGAATCACAGTCCTACATGAGCAGACAGAATTGTTCATCCAGACATGATGAAAAAGCTGCGAGACAGTTTGTTCAGGCACTCGCAGGAAGAAGTAGACAACTGCAGTAATGCCTAAAAAACAAAGTAGGCTGATTTGAAGAAAAGAGCAATTTCTCTAAAATAGGACATCTTCATTGCAGGTAACCTTTGAATCCCAGTTCCACTGCTAGGTGTTATTTTGTCCAAGGATACAGTCACCACTGCCAGCCCCCTCAAAATGTGCAAGGCCATCCTTTGTGTGAGACACAAAACTTGCTTTCCCACATTAATTGTGCACCTTAATGTGGCAGTTTTTACACCTATTAAAACAGGGTGGCTGTTCATGTGATTTTATTTGTTGTCCTAAACACAAAACCATCTATCCAGCTGCTGGCCAATCAATCTAAGGAAAGCATACAAAACAAATGGTAACAGGCCAATAAAGACAGACCCAGAGTTCTTCACCCTATCCACTTAGTTCAGCTCCTCCAGGTAGATCCTAAGGCTTTCTGAGAGCAGATGGGATGATAATCCCTCCAGCATGTTTATGGTTTCCCTAGGGGTTGACCCAAGTTCACCAATTCCTCCAGGAGAACCAAGGCGGGCAGAAAGATGGAACCCTCCAGCATAATCTGTGTTTCATTTGAAGGTGTGTTTGAACAGATTTACTTTGTTTATTATGAAGAGTTAACTGGCTATGTATTCTCTGTATCCCACTAAAAGTAGGCTTTATCTGGTGTTTATTACATGTGTATTGACCTTAACAATGATCAGTGTCCCACTCTTCACTCTCATGCTGAAAAATCAGAAATCTAAGACATTGCTATTTTTCCTGGGGTGTGCCTGTTTTTCTGTGGCTACTTATAGAAATAACATCTTTGCCTGGATTAAACTTTTAATATCAATACATTTACCTCTACAATAGTGTGCCTGTAGTAGCTTTGTCAGTAACTTGCTACCATGTTGTAACCAAGACATTAGCGTGCCTCAAATTCATTAGATAAATTAACACACTACTTAATGATCTAATGGTAAGACAAACAGAGAAGTAAATATGAATATGGACAGAAATGCAGATGTGAAACAAAATTAGGAGGTTTGATCATTGAGTCTGGTGTTGCTCTTGACTTGAAGGTCTATCTGTGTATGAAGAAAACCTTCTTCAGCAGCGCCTCCTCTGCTGCACCGGACTGATTTGGATCTAGGTCTGTTTCCACATTAGTATAACTTCAGCTACAGAAGCTACTTTGTTATTTAATGAGCTAGACAACCATTATATATATGAGCTCTCTATTATATGCATTTTTTTATTTAAAGACCCACTGCAATGAAAATTCAGGTTTTTCTTGCTGTCTGTTTAGATGACATTTTTCTGATACTACAGGACATATCATGAGAAAACTAATTGCGAAATTGCATTTCTGAGTATTTCTGTATTCGAATCGCTGCGAATCTCTGGCAGACCCAAACGACAGACTCAGACAAAGTGAGATTTCCTGCATAACCAATCCAAACTCCACCCACGGAGCTTGCTATGCGGGCCAGACTCAGAGACGTAGAGAAGACAATCATGGAACAAGTGTGTGTATTAGCGGACTGCAATGCTCGTAAGTAAGCAAATTATGATATTAACTTTCATCATGTCCCCAAAGACATTAGTGTCTGAGAGCTGAATACCCTCTCTGTTACCTGCTTCTTCTACTACACCGACAATGTTAGGCTGCAAGCTAGCATGAAGAGGAGTGTGCAGAGCAGCGTTGACTCCACCCACGACTCAGAGGTGAATTACTCATGAGCTACTGTAGCTCTACAGAAGAAAAGACCTTGGAAATGACAGGTAATGTGATTTTGGCAAAAAAAAAAACTTTATAATCAAGATTTAAAGACCACTGATAACACTTAAAATTTTAAAAATAAAACAAACAAAAAAAAAAGAACGGAGTGGGACTTCAGGAAATGGTGACCAGTTTTACAAGCTCTGGTTTATGTGATCTCATCACACCTTTTAATTTTACTTAAGTCATGCAAAGTGATCAAATGACAATTATGGAAAAAGTAACAAGTGTTCACTGACCTTTTGAGTTTCTTACTGGCTGCGATGGAAAGCTTTTGATGACCTCCCTGATCCACTCATGACAGAAGCTGAAGTTGATGGTCCAAGATCCAGGAGAACTTCAACACTTTGATCTAAACAAAGGAGGCACGGCGAGGACTGAAACCAGACCCCCTTTATTTATATATTTATCTATTCTATATAGGTAAGTGATGTTTGGTCAGGCGGACTTCAAAACCGCACATCAAAACTGCCTTTCATCTTAATAAACACTGACAACAAACAGAGGGAAAGAAGAAAGGATACCGTAAAAGTGGCAGAAGAAAAAACAGAGCAATTTTGCAAAGACACAGAGGAGATGAAAAAACGGACATCATCAATGACATACTTTATCCAGCTCAGCTCTTAAACGTGAAGTGATGTCTGAAGAAGCAACACCTCTTCAGCAATGACTGAAACAAAAACAAATTTCACAGTCGAGGTAACCTTTACACAACACACTCAAAATGACACCAATTTCTGTGGGAAACATATGAGGAAGAACAGTTCCTGATGGAATCCACAACTGATTTGTTTCATTCCTGACTCATGGAGGAGTCACGAAAACATGAGGGTGTATTTTTAGTCACGTACATATGAACTGATGGAGTAGCAGAGCAAAAGTGTCTGCATTAAAAAAGTTTTAGTTATCCCCTCTGATCCTGCCTCATGCTGAGGAAAAAAAACATACGCTTGTTTTGTGTGTAGCTTACTAGACCATTTGAGAAGGACTGAAGATCTTTTAGTCAATGATTAGACTTGAAAGACGTGCTGCACTGATTTACATCCATTTCTAAAGTTTTAAACTCACCCACTCTCCTCTAGCACCTGCTTGTTTGTGGGGGAGCCCTGATGAGTCGATCACTGAGTGCAGCCCAATGAAAAAAATTTATGAGTATTACAATGCAATGAAATCAGACCAAGAAACTGGCAAAGGAACTACTGCGTTTGCAGTGCAAAATGATTAATATGATGATTATTACTTCATGGAAATGATCTGCTGCACTCTGTGATCAATTCGTCAGGGCTCCCCCCACAAACAGGCTGCTGCTGGAGGAGAGTGGGTGAGTTTTGTTTAGTCTCTTTGCTTCAGAAACCAGGCAAAGCTAAAAAGATGTTTAGTGGCTAGTACTATGGCCGGGACCCTATATGTACTGTTGATGAAGTTAGGTGCTGTTCTGAGCATTATTTGTGGCTATAGAGTGGCGTTTTGGTTGAGGTTTGCACATGGAGAGGTAGACCGCTGTGTATTGCTATTGTGCGTTCATTACTGAAGTCATTATTTAAGTAAGCAGTCGACAACATTCATCTCTGGGGGGTGGGGAGGTGGGGGTCTAACTCTGTGTTACGGTGTGTTTGATCATAACTTCAATTTATGCCAGAATATCCCTTTAAGGCTGGCAGTAGAAGCACCAGAAAAATACAGTTACATACAGCAATTATACAGTCTATGGTGAAAAAAAAGACACTGAGTCAAGTGATGTCATTTGGGTTATATCAACATCTTTTTACAGGTCTCTCCTGCACTACAAAAAGTTTTAAACAATTTCATGTACAAAGGCAGTACAACTTGGATAAACTTCAAATCTGAGCTCATGTAAAACTGCTGTAGTTCTCTTCCAACTTTAAAACCGGAAGCTACAGTCGATGTTACGAATTCTCTTGAAATCAATTTAACTGTGAAACAGAATGGGTTAGAAAATCCCATGACCTGGGCTTTCCTTTCAAAAATAGAATCTGTTTCCCCGCTCACCTGGGATATAACAGCAGCTCTCAGCCACAGCACCATGAGACATTTCCACCAAGAGGAAAAGGACTTGTTACTCTGGCACTAAAACAGAGATGACTTGAATTGGCACCTGACTAACAGCCAGGTTTGGGGTGAAGTGGTGTGGAGTGTTGTGGGGAGAAAAAAGGGCCGATAGTCAGTCTCTGTTGGCTGCCTTTTGAACAACACCTGGTGCAGACAGAGTTGCAGAGGGATGGATCCAGTACAGCAGCACCACCAGACTCAAAGCTGGTTATGGGCACCCTGCAGGGACACACAAACACAGTCATTAAAGGAATGGTGGCACACATTACTATGAAAGCTACGACCTTGCATGAATGTTGGCCTGTACGTGTTTGACAACATCAAAGAAAGCCTAAATTGGCCAGTGAATCTAATGGAGCTGTATTTTTTGATTAATGGGATATATCAGGATTCATTTCAGGAGGATTCAGCATTCAGAGCACAGCAGTGGAGCGCTCTGCCTCACAGGTGGGGAGGCCTTTCTCGTTCTGCGCATGGTCTCCTCTTTGTTTTGCTTTGAGAGGAGCAGAGTGCCGAGCCAACCATCTGATTCCAGCCAGGCTGCACCCGTGCACTGTGGCTCTGAGTGAAGTGGAAGACTTAAGACTTTCATCTCAGGCTGCCAGGCTGCACTCACACACAAACACACACATACACAACAAGGTCACACAGTGCTTTCAAAAGCCAGTACTGGCTCAGAAAGGTCAAAGTTGTACTTTATGAGGACGTGCATCCCAGGTTTTTTTTTATTTTAAAATGCTGGCCACATCACCTTTCAAGTTCTGTTTTACACAGAGGTAAACTGACCCATTTTAGTCTGATTCTTAGTCCTGAGCTTCAAAAGCGGTACTTTAAGATAAAAAATCCACCTGAAAATGAAGTAAAATTGAGCATTTGGGCTCAAAGCTTTACTTCTCTGTCATCTATTTCATCCTCTGCCCCTCTCCACTTAATTCATACCTAAGTCGCAGAAAGGTCCCACAATCCTGCTTTCCTCGCTGAACCTGAGTGTCCCCCACTATCGCCTGCCAAGGAATCCCTTCAAACATGCTGCTTAATTAGTGGCTGATTAAAAGAGAAGTTCAGGACCTGAGGAAAACCAGGCAGAAATGAGAGTCAGGAGAGATGGAGCAAGAAAGGAGAGAATGGGAGAAAACAGGGAGAGAGACCTCTGTCTTTGTGAGGGGATCTCAGACAGGAGTGGAGACCTCCACAGCACTAGACCCAGACACAACTTAATTAACGTTTACAGCCGAGTCCTGCATCTGGTCCTCAATCCAGAGCCTTCCTTTTTCTTCTTTTGTGCTATTTGTATCTGATGAAAAACACTAGTGGCATTTTCGCTCACTAAGACAATAAAATATTAATCACAAAAAAGTTGGGGGAACGAGGCTGCACTGATTTGCAATTTAAATTACCTGAGACTTCCTGGCAATTAATTATGGTCTATATGAGTGAGCAGGGTCGTGTACGCAGATTTTTCATGTGTGTGTGTATGTGTGTTTCTTTGTGTGTGTGGTTCATCTTCTGAGCTTTTTTCATGGCTTATTTAAAGCACAATTTACCAGGTGCTTTTTTTACATCCTGTCCCTTAAAGAGCACCAGAAATGCCAAGTAATCACAGGGTTTCAATTTAAGATAACATGACAACGCTGGCAGCGCTGCTAACAGCCTCACAGCTTTCTAAATAGACCCAGATGACACTTAACCAGAATAAAGCTAAAGATGCTTTTTTCCCCCGAATCCTTTTCATGACAAACATCAAGAGCAAAGCGGCAGTAACAGCTCACAGAGATGGAGATGTGTGCTAATCATAGGACTCTCTCAGAAGGAACAGCTTTAGACAGTTCATTTGTCATGGGAATCAGACGATGACAGTATGAACAGGGAGAACGGCTAATAGGTGATAATGCACATGGCATAGGGAGAATAAATATTGTCACGTTGCAGGGTAGGCTGGCAAGACGTTCACAAAGACTGTCTTCCTTGAGACCAATTAAAAGACAAAGTCAGGAGGTAGAGGAGGTCCTGTGCTTCAGATAAGGGAGCGTGTGTGTTGCTGCTCCATCAGCAGAATGTAGGCTGGATAAAAAGCAGAGGAAATAAAGATGTAAGTACCAAAATTATTCCTGATACTTAACACCAAGAATCTCTAATACAGTAGACAAAAGCTTATCACATTGCATATATGTATAGACCCTGCAGTAAATATGACATTGTGAGGAGCGCAGTTCCTGAAGGATCTTGTGCTATTGAATTGCAGTATGGAGATTTGTGTTTGTCCTCAAGTCTAAATAGCAGCTCAACATTATGAACCTCATAAAGACAGTACTCTGTGCAAGGCCACCTCTTTCAATTGTATTGTATTGAGTAGTTGCTCTTGACCACATTGACCTGGCCTGTATAAACATAAACAACATATTCACCATTGTAATCCAGCATACACCATCAGTATTTTTATTTGGTTTTACAAGGATTGTTCTTCGGATTCAGAAATCCTCAACAAATCTCAGAAAGAGAAAATACACCAATAACTTTGCAAAACAATCATTTTTATGAAATGGAAAACAAGCAGATACTCAAACTTCAGCTATGATGCTCACTTGGCTGTTTTCACCAGAGGACCTGCACAATAATCTGAACAACTACAGTGTTGGATTAACATGAAAAGTCTGGGTAAAACAAAGATGACAGCAGTTTTGGCCTGGTGCTTTAAAAAGGCACAAACCGAAGCAAAGCTGGATGATAATTCTTGGACAGTCCATTACGATCTTATACTAATGGTTTACTGATAGTATACACCAGGTGTGGGTTGAGCACATTTCCCAGTGGCCTCAAGTCTATTTGGCCTTCAGTGAGCAGTCAGCGTGAACAGCAAGAATGAATCAATAAGCCCCTCTGAATGCACCATTCATTGCATGCAAGTGCGACTCTTGTGGTTGGTTAATTGTGCTCAACCAGCTGCCATAGGGTCATGAGTGCCAACTGCAAAGTATGACATCACAGTGTCCCTTTCACAGTGCTTCATAAAATATCATCATCACCAGGTGAACTGGAAAGAAAAAATGGTGCAGCAGAGAGGAAGGGGATTAGAAAGAGGAAAGCATCAGGCACCAGGACAGCAGCAACGATTACAGGACTTGTCAGCCAGTAAGTAACAGGTCCAGATATGGACAGAGCTCTCTGTCTGTGCTTCGCATTCTTTTTGTCCATATTTCTGCATGTATCCTATAAGTTTATGGATATGGGCCAGGTGGAGCAGTACCACTGGAAACCGTGGGGGCAGTGTTGCCGCTGTCACTACCCTCTAGAGAGAAATGAAGAAGACAATGGTGGGGCTTTTTGAGGATCGTCGTCAATTTCTCTCATCAGTACTACTAGAGAAAAGAATTCTCCATCCTCCAATCACAAGGCATTTAGTGGCCTGACCAGCCACAGCCTCCTCGTTTGAAACAGACGTGCACATTGTCATACATATGGCAAGCATAAATGAGCCTTCAAGCAGTCTGTGGCTTCTGCGTTACCACTACCTCCCCCTGTTTCCTGCCCCATTCACTGTCCTGTCCTCTGTTTCTTATTGTTTTTTTATTTTTATTCAACTTGTCTCCATATACCAATCTGTAATATGCTAGATTGTGAAACGTAGAACCAGGGGCACAGTTGGCCTGCACAGTAAGTGGTTCACGTGGCTAGAGGTCTGGGATGGAGTTAAACTGGTAATTATGTGCCTTCTGATCACACAATATACACCCCAGCAGGTAAATTACGGGCACACTGCCTGTAATATTTTTAGTTTCTGCCCTATGAACTTTGACACACTTGGGTACAAGTATGTGTGTTTGTGTCATGCTAGATTGCTTCACCGTCAAGTTTCTTTTTTACACAACAGTTAGTACAAACTGCTTCTGACAGCCCAACTGTAAGGTTGGTGTACAACAGCATCAGCAAGTCTCCAACTACGCTTCTGTCAATTATTCATTCATACCTTTGCATATTTTTGTAATATGATGTGTTGTTCTGTATGTAAGTATATCTGTGACAGTTTTGCTTTGCTGTAGGATAGTCTGAACTAGATTATCTAAGGGATCCAGAGATTACTCAAGTAAAAGTCTTAAGAGGGTGAACTGTTTGGTAACACTTTACATGATCCCTCTAATTGTAATGCATCATAGGCAAAAACTGTATATGGAATAGATGCCGTCTGCCTCCTCGCTAGGTGAAGCCAATGCGAGGAGGCAGCACCCTCTGGTGACAGGATGCAATATAGGTCCTAAATCCCGCCTCCTCCAACAATCTCTATGGAGCTGTGGACAAACTTTAGAAATTTATTACACAGAATATAAATTTTTCTCCCCCCTTATTGCGATGTTGACATGTAGTTATTGTAAGACTGGTTTGTGCTTAAGTCCTTTTTTTTCTGTGCAGCCCCATTTTTAAAAGTTATTCGTGGGTTCATGTTTTCTACGATTGACACTTGATACAGCCTAAGAACGTACCAAGATTATGTAGATCACCCGGGGAAACGCTGTTTGAGCCGAGCATCATCACAGCAACTCTCCTGCCGTATCCGTACCATGCCACTGTGCAAGTGGTGGTTCCAGGAAGTGGCAAAAACCCTAGAAATACAGAGAACAATTTGGCTTCAAATTTGTATAATGATGGAAGGCGGAACCAAGTTGTCCATAGTATATACAGTCTATGATCATAGGTACATTTATAAAGGTTATAAATGCATCTATAAGGTTTTAACACAATCCCTATGAGTGATAATGAGCATGCATATCATCTTATAGCTAATAATGTTATGTGAATGTTTAGTGTTATAAGCAGTGAGCATATCGTGTGGTTAAAGTATTAAGCTGCAGGGACTCTTAAGGTCGGAGCACAGACCCAATAAACACAGTGCTCTGCTGCTGTAATGAACATTTCAAACCACCACAAACTCAAGCTGAGTTGTAACAAGAGTTAGCCTTAAGAAACAAACAGTTAACTGCAAATTTTAGTCAAATTTCTCTACTAACATGCTCTTTAAACCCTGCTACTCCAGTAACTCTATGATGAAGTTTTATTGTCCCGAGAGTCTCACTAAAAGCTCATTTGAATGACCCGGGGCTTTAGGGATCACAGAGTCGCCACTGCTAAACGAAGTCAGGGCAAATGTGTATTAGTCTGCATGTTCTGTGTATACAATGCAGTAAGTGAGTGGGTGAATAAAGAGGGGAGGAAAATAGGAGGGGCCGTCTCCATCCCACACCCTTGCAGCCCCGTGCCTGTTTTCAGAGAGAGAGACCTGGAGCCCATTTATATTCATTACAGAGACAGTGTGCTCTCACTCTGCCAGTCTAGCCTCCATCTCTCTCCATCTCTCTGTCACACACCTCAACACGCCAGGGAGGAGAGTCTGACAAACCAACAGACAGATAGATTCGACTTCCTCTGTATAAACAAGAGCCAAGCGAGGTGAAGCCGCATCTGCCTTCTCCTCCATCAGTGTGAGAGGTGGAGGTTGCCAGGCCAGCTGTCCAGTTCCTGACCGCTCCGTCACATACAGTAACCACATCACAGCCTCCACACATGACAAACAGCACACAGCGCCATAACGCTTGTGCTGTGATATGAACTCCATCTGTATATTCTGCAAAGTGAGAGCATATATTACTGTGCATATGCTTCCTCCATCTGCAAATCTGATAATGTGAACAGCTTACAATGCATATTTACACTTGGGGACACATTTCTGTTCATTTGTTTTTCCATCTGTGCTCGTGACAATCTGAGTAGCTGCTGATGCACATGACATCTGCACAGAAATTCCAACCTGTAAGTCTGCCCGCAGGAGACAATGCAATATTACCTGGTTTATTTCCCATATGTGCTGCCTTCGCAAGGTGGTCACTAGTTATGCCTTTAAAGCATTCTTAATTAAAATAAAGAATAGTTATCAGACTCTCATCAAACTATTTCTCTTTTTTTCCACAATATCATCCAAACTTTTAGAGGCAACCCCACCCCCCAAAAAATATTTTTATCGGAAATAGCTTATGGTGACATGATGAGCTTCATTATTTCAAATACCCCCCCAAAAATGCATAATAAGCACACATCCAGGGCAGATTCACTGAGAACAACCAATCATTGCACAAATAATTGCATATCATTTGACTCCACTGTCTCTGTCTCACGGTCTGATTTGCATAGCATATTGAGCTGGCGATACTAAAGCATAAAAACACCATTAAAGCTCTGCTTTGCGCAAGTCTTGCACTTAGCTGTGACCAAAATGAGCTGCTTGCATTTCCACTCTCTGCTGCAGAGAGCTGTGCACTCTTATCTAGACAGCTCTGCAGTCTTTCCACGTACAATGTATGTTTGGCTAGATGGAGAGGCAAAATCCTCGCCATTTTATTATGTAGTCAGATATTACACAGATTTCAATTAATATCAATACCACTATGATTTGAAATGGCCCAGCTTGTATAGTCTGACTCATGAAAAGAAATCAAGGTTTTGTCAACATAATATCAACAGACTTTATGTACAGATAGATTTAGAGGTTATTCAGAGGTCAGATTAAAGTTTTCATCATGGAAGAGTTAAAGACCAACATTTTCACTCACTGTGGCACAAACCCATCAGAACAGTCAGATTGTCTCTCTGTGTGTTGTGGTTCACACTGATGTAGGGAAATTAGGTGTTCTTTATGATGAGGTTCATTTGCAGAGAAACTGGCATATTTTGCTCCAAATGAGTGTATACAAATATATGCAAACAATCACAATCATGCTGTTTGCACTAAAGCGCAGCTTGTGGTACATTCAACCCTTGGCACATTTGTGAATTAGAGGTTGTCTCTTTGGTCTGTTTTCACAGGTTTAGCAGGTGCAGGAGGCATACAGCCATTTTGAGTCTGCAACAATGTAATATTGGTGTCCCTGTGTGTGATGCAGTTCAAAAGCCTGATTTTTAAGACTTCTGGCTTGACTCAGACCTGATCAGCAACAGTTTTGATCAGGATGCCATAAATGGTGCAACAAAACATGCCATTTGCTTTCAAAGATTTCACATCAATTGTAAGTGAAAGGAGTACAACGTGTTAACATATAAAAAATAACTATCACAGAAAAGGCGGAGAAAAGATCCAGCCTTTAAAGACATCTGCATCCAGAAAAGTAAGACAGATGCTAAAGTTACTTGGACTACTACACAAGTTGCTAGCTAACATCAGCAGCACCTAAAGGGCCTCAACCCATGTTAAAGATGTTTGGTTTGTATAATTCACTACACAAAGTCTTTGCTAGGAGTCCTCCATCATGAGCTCCATGATGGAGGTTCCTCTGGATCGCTGCCACAGCTGCTTCAACAATATGCATTAATCTCACCTCATCTCCCTACATCAGCCTCTCCTCTGTCCATCTCTCTCTTTCTCCTCTTTAAACCCAGCTCAGTCTCAGCAGATGACTGTCTAACATGAGTCTCTTTCTGCTTGAGGTTTCTGCCTGTTATAAATGCTGTAAAGTGTTTCACTTATGTGGTTGAAGATGGGATGGGTACGGTGGCCGGGAAGTGTCAGACGATTTGCATATCCAAAACGCTTTGCAAAAGAAAAAACACAAATGCAAAATCTAATGTCCTGTTTTAAAAGCCCATGTTTCGGCTCTGAAAATAAAGTAAACCGCATGAAAATCAGCTGAGAAATGAGCAAGATGTGATTTATTTTCCATGTACATCTAATGCCTTTAGTGGGACCATTGCAGGCACGTAGCCTGGCTGGCTTCTTCAGTGTGCCAGTATATCTAGTCTTCCACTGTAGATACAGGCTGATACACCTTAAAAGTGAGGTTTTTTCTTACGTGGCACTACCTTGGACATATGTATCAGTATACATATGTGTGATGCACTGCCGAGTGCGTGCGCCGAGTACTAGCATTAGCGAGTTAATGTAGGCGATCACACAGCTGATTCATTACCCACACACACATGGGAGTTGTCTGATTTGCCAGACTCACTCCCAGCTTTTTTGTTAGTGTCTCTGGATAATACTTGTTGTGAATTGGCGTTATATAGATAAACATTTAATTCCCCCATCAAACATTCCAAACAAGATCTAACAGGACCGCAGATGTTCGGCCTTGAGCTGGCTCTCAGTAAACCTACAGTCAACATATTTAATGCATTTGGGAAAGTTTGACCTCAGTTTAACAAAACTTTATTTATATACTGTATCTGATACAGTTTGCCCAAGGAAGGCATTTTTATGATCAAATTAACAATTCACTTAAAATGTGCATAAATCCTTATTGGTCCTTTTTTAACTACTGCACAGAACTAAACTGTGCACTATTTACAGCTGAGCTAATACATGTTTCCAATCAGATACAGCTCATTAAATACAACATGGGTTTACTTTCGGTCAGGGACCTCAGTTGCACTCTGTAACCTCGGTCTCCTAAAGTTTTCTGTCTGTTCCCAGCAGAAACAATAACATCATAGCAAAATACAAAAACAAAAGCTCTATTTCACTGTCCTATAAATAGTGACTGTGCTGAATCTTTCCTCGGAGGCATATGCAGGCGTTGTTCTGCCCTGAAAAGCTATATTTAATTAGATTTAATTTTATAATTATTAACTCTAAAGGCACAGAAGGTAACTTTACAGTACTTTTCCATTGTCACCAGCATGCACACACAGCTATAGCTGCTGGTGATGATGATGATGATGACGGTAAGCCCTTTCTGTGCTGTTATATCAATGGATTTGTATGAAGTTTATCCCGAAAATGCTTCAGTACGGCCATATGGCAGGGACTTGAGGCGACCAGGCCTGCTGTGAAATAGGAGGTGAAGAGCGACAGAACAGAGAGACGGAAAGCCTTCTGGAATTCATTACAGCTAGTGCTGAGACTCTCAAAAAGAAAACATCAATTCATAATAGACTAACACAAAAAACAAAAACATTTTCGACATGCAAGCACACAATCACTTACAAACGCACACAAATGCACACACACACACACACACACACACACACACACACAATGCAACTTCATCTAAATTCCCTTTAGCTAGCAAATTAAAAGGGAATCATCAAATACACAGAACCACCCACTAGCCTCTTCCTTTAGGCCGTGGCTCCTGCTGGGGAAGAAAAAATCGGGTAGTAGATGCTGAATTGCCACCACCAGGTAGACAGGGGGTGGAGCTGTGTGATTTGGCTGCTGCAGAAAAGAGCAACGATCCCAGCAGGGCTCCTGGAGTTTTTCAAGGGTCACCTTGTGTGACAATAGGCAGCGAGAGAAACAGTGAGGTACAGAGATGGGCTGCAGAGTTTAGAGGGACACACTACAAAGTGTGAAAACATGCCAAAGAGCTGTGGCTAAATGGCAGAGCGACACTTTGAGCGTATGTGTGACGCAAGTCTGAACGTAAATCAAACACCCACATGCTAGCTGGCTCTTCCGCAGCACAGAGTCAACCCTGGGCTTTTTTTCAACACCCCTACCTCCCTCATCCTTCCAACTGTGGTCAGAAAATCTGACAGAGGGTTAATGAAGCCCACTCATTTTAAGGTCAGATCCCATTAAAGTGGATGAAAGGTTACAAGAAGCATGTGTGGTTGAATCCGAGGGATCAGCAAGATTGATCAAGTGAGGTGGCTGAGACCAATTCTTAAAAATCAGATGCCTTGAGGTTCACTCCCAGTCAAAAGGCTCACACACACACAAAAACCACCTATCAGAAGTGATTCAAAATAACCAATTATAAGAGATTTGGAGGTTATGGTGAGTGGGGTCACTTGAGAAAACATTTATGAAAAAACAAAGCATCTGAGAAGCTGCTGAAGGTGAGACTGAAACTGAATATGCAGCAGGAGGAGTATTTCCTCTCAGCTGTGAGTGAAGGACACACGCTTGTGAACAAGGCTGGATGTGGAGTATGTACTGTATGAAAATGTGTTCATCTCGCCAGAGGCACTGCTGATAACCCAGCCACTTCCTCAGACAGAGAACAGGAGGGTGAGAACAGGGATAAGAGAACAGCAGACACACATGTGGAAACGGGCTAAGCACCAACCTGGCTGCAGGTCAGACTGACGCTGGAGTGTGTCAGATGCAGGGCCACAGGAGGTGTGATGGATTAAGAGGCGCCGGCGGAGACAGAGGCCCTCCCTGACCGTAGAACAAACCCCAAAGAACCAACATCACCATATCACTAAAGGCCCCCTCTCTATTTCTCTCTCTTCTACTGTCTCTCCTCGTTTCCACCTCTTTGAAACAGTCACTCCAAATCCCTACTTTCTTTTCATCCCTGCCCAGATTGCTATAGAACACAGCAACTAAGCCACACAGTTTACTTCTTGATTCAGCCCCTAGTTTAATCACATATCCGACTTAAGAGGATGTAAAATTGAGAAAAGTGCAAATATGTGTGGCTAAGATAACAAAAATACCATGATAAGCCCCCCATCAGGAGAATGAGATAGCTGAGCCTAAATTAATAATGTTAATATCCTAATTGCACTTCACAGCATTAAGTATACCTACCAGTAATGTGAGTGGCAATATTAATTAACTTCATTCTGGTGTCAGCTTCAGAGATAAGCAGTCATCGCATTCATGCTTTGGTCTCCATTTCCAACAAATCACTTCACAGTGTAGCTTGTTCTTTGACATGAGACTGACAGCAGCTTCCAGAAAACTCCTCCCAAAAAAGTAATTCTGCTTTCAGTGAACTACAGGAAGACAGTTGAACATTAGGACAAAACTAAATGACCATTTTCAGACCATCTTCATACCACTGGAGACGGTGGGCAGTGAACCCTCAACAAAGAGCTGTTTTCTGGAGTTCACCTCTGCTTGCTACTTTAGGCTTTAAGTTCATTTTTTCAAACAACATGCTCTTTGGCTAATAAATCAGAATCAGAAGGGGTTTTATTGCCATTGTCAATGAACAGGATTCACAGACTAGGAATTTTTTACGGCATGATGGTGCAACTTTAAACAGAGAATAACACATAAAATACTAGAATAGAAAATAATAAGAGCATGCAGGACATATATAAAGTATAAAAGGCTATGTACAATGCTATGTACAGTAAGTATAACAGGCTATGTACAACTACACAATACAGAACAACAGTGCAGTGGGAGGAGTGCAATTAAAAAACCAAGGTACATTGAACTAAAGTGACCAGTGATAAAGTGACGGATTTAAAGTGACTGAGTTATAAAGTGTTCATGAGTCCACAACAGAGGGGAAGAAACTGTTCTTATGGCGGGAGGTTCTGGTCCAAATGGACCGTAGCCTCCTGCCTGAGGGGAGGGTCTCAAATAGTCCGTGTGCAGGGTGAGAACGGTCAGCTGCGATCCGACCTGCTGGGCCCTGAGTCCTGGAGTCGTACAGGTCATGGAGAGATGGAAGGCTACCGCCGATCACCTTCTCAGCAGAGCCCACAATGCACTGCAGTCTGTGTCTGTCCCTAACATTGGCCCCGGCGTACCACACCGTGATGGAGGAGCTGAGGATGGACTCGATGATGGCCATGTAGAATTGCACCATCAGCTGGACCGGCAGCTTGGCTTTCCTCAGCTGCCGTAAGAAGTACATCCTCTGCTGGGCCTTCTTGATGAGGGAGCTGATGGTTGGCTCCCACTTGAGGTCCTGGGTGATGGTGGTGCCGAGGAAGCGGTAGAAGTCCACAGTGGTGATGGGGGAGTCGGTGAGGTCGAGGGAGGGCAGGGGGGCTGTGGCTTTACCAAAGTCCACGATCATCTCCACTGTCTTCTGGGCGTTGAGCTCGAGGTTGTTGCTGCTGCACCAGGTGACCAGCCGGTCCACCTCCAGCCTGTAAGCAGACTCATCTCCATCCGAAATGAGTCCAATGAGGGTAGTGTCATCCGCAAACTTGATGAGCTTAACGGAATCATGGCTGGAGGTGCAGCAGTTGGTGTACAGGGAGAAGAGCAGAGGGGAAAGTACACAGCCCTGTGGAGATCCTGTGCTGAGAGCCCGAGTGTCCAAAACATTCTTCCCCAGCCGCACACACTGACTCTGGTCCGTCAGGGAGTCTGTGATCCACCTGCAGGTGAAATCAGGCACATGGAGCAGGGAAAGCTTGTTCTGGAGCAAAGCCGGAAGGATGGTGTTGAATGCAGAGCTGAAATCCACAAACAGGATCCTAGCGTAGGATCCTGGGGAGTCCAGGTGCTGCAGGATGAAATGCAGGGCCAGGTTTATGGCGTCGTCTACAGACCTGTTGGCTCTGTAGGCAAATTGCAGAAGGTCCAGGAGGGGGTCGGTGATGGACTTCAGGTGGGATAAAACCAGGCGTTCAAAGGTCTTCATGACTACAGACGTAAGAGCCACCGGCCTGTAGTCATTAAGTCCAGTTACGTGAGGTTTTTTGGGGATGGGATCAATGATAGAGGACTTGAAACAGGCAGGAACATGGCATGACTCCAGGGAGGTGTTGAAGATCCCCGTGAAGACTGGAGCTAGCTCATCAGCGCAGTGTCTCAGAGTGGCAGGAGAGACACAGTCCGGGCCAGCAGCCTTGTGTGGACTCAGACGCTTAAACAGTCTGTTTACTTCCTCTTCATGGACCGAGAGGGCAGCAGGGGGAGGGGGGAGGACCAGGGTGGTTGAATTTCCAGTTGTGTGGGGGGTGAGGGGGTGTGAGTCCATGACTTCAAAGCATGAATAGAAGTCGTTCAGGTCGTTGGCTAGTTTTAGGTCGTCAGTTGAACGAGGTGCTTTGGGCTTGTAGTTGGTGATCTCTTTCTACCCCCTCCGCACCGAGGCAGGGTCGTTGGCAGAGGATCTTTGCTGCTTGTTCGTTGTACCTAGCTTTAGTCTTTGCCACCTACTTACTAAAACTGTACTTGGCACATTTGTAGCGGTCTCTGTCATCTTCCCTGAAAGCCACCTCTTTCTGCTGACGGAGCTGCCGGAGTTTTGATGTAAACCAGGGCTGCGGGATGATGCTGTCTTCACAAAAATAAATATATGACGTCACAGTGTCTGTGTAATCGTCTAGACTGTCTGTAGAAGCCTTAAACATATCCCAGTACGTGGTGTCCAAGCACGTGCGTAGCTCCTCCACAGCTTCACTGGTCCACACTTTGGATGTCCTCACTACAGGTTAACAGAGTTCTAGTCTCTGTCTGTACGCAGGGATCAGGTGAACCGTGGAGTGATCTGAGAGTCCAAAAGCTGCGCGAGCCACAGTGCGATAGGCACCACTTACTGTAGTGTAACAGTGATCTAATGTGTTCCCCTCTCTGGTCGGGCATGTTATAAACTGTTTGTATTTTGGTAGTTTCTGACTGAGATTTCCTTTGTTAAAATCACCAAGAATTATGACTAAGGAGTCCAGAAAGTTCCTCTCTACGCTCATAACCTGCTCCGCGAGCGCGCGCTCGGCCTTGTGCACATCCGCACTTGGTGGAATGTAAACAGAACAGAGTATGAATGAGACAAACTCACGTGGACAGTAGAACGGTTTGCATTTTATGAAGAGATATTCCAGAGAGGGAGAACAGTGTTGGGAGATCACTGTCACGTCGGAGCACCAGGCGTTGTTGATGTAGAAGCAGACTCCTCCACCTTTTGTTTTCCCACTGAAGAGTACACGATCCCTGTCTGCGCGGAGGAGCTGAAAACCCTCCAGTTGTATGGCGCAGTCAGGTGTCTGTGCATTTAGCCACGTCTCCATGAAGCACAGAACACAAGAAGAGAAGAAGTCTCTATTCTTCTTTATCAGCAGTGCCAGCTCATCCATCTTGTTGCTGAGTGAGCGGACGTTCGAGAGGAAAATCCCAGGTAAGGGCGTACGCGTGCCTCGCTGTCTGAGACGCGCAAGCACCCCAGCTCGCTTTCCCCTTCGCCGACATCTCACTCTTTTGGCCAAAAAGTGGACCAATTGAGCAGCAGATGCCAAAAAAACTGGTGTAATGTACGTGGGTGTTGTTGATCTGATGTTTAGAAGCTCCTCACGGGTGTAGGAGCACGATGACACACGGTTAAAGCACAAAAACAGACAAAACAATGAGCACCGGAACACCAGGGTGCCTACTCCGGGCGCCATCTTGATGACGTATCATAAACATATATATATGGACAGGGCTTTTTGTTCACCTGCCATGTTAATCTTGTCTACATGTTTTCTGGATGCTGATGGATATAGAAAAAATGGTGGGGTACCACTGGAAGTCATGGAGGCAGTGACATTTAAGCATTTAAGCAAACAGTTTAAACAATACAATACAGTACCGTACCAAAACATCATGACTTTATGTTTAAGGGGGGGTATCATGCTCTTCCACATTTACAGCAAAAACTGCAATGTTATAAAGTTTGGTGTCCATACTACATGTATGCAAAGTTTCTAATCACAACGTTAATGTATGTTGTCTTAATCTGAGGAAGTAGATATGAACTCAAATCTCAGACAAATATGTGAAATCGTAAGATCATAGTTTATGCACTGTGAGAAATTTGCGGCTTTTGATCATAAAATCACATAAAGCTATCAAAGAGGCATCAGAGAGGAAATATAAAGTCTAAAAAATGCATCTTACCCCTCAATTAAAGTATCTAACAAATAAAGCATGTCCCACAGAGGCAAAGTAGAGAGTTCATATATTTTGTTCACTTTGGTTTGATTCAATTAAAAATTTTAAAAATGTCAATTTTCAGACATTAAACTAAAATGACACGAGAGAGTCATTTTTTTTTAAATGGTGAGTGAAACTCTCCCTGCAGACTAAAGTCCATGCCCCACTTACCCCCTTGTCTACACATAAAGAGCTGGAATAGTGTTTCCTGTTATTCTTCTAGAAAGTTTAAAACAAAGCTAGCTTATCTCTGGGCATCTTTTCCCCACTTTAAAACGTCTGTTTTCATCCTGCTATCAACCTTTTATTAATCAACTACCATTCACACTACCCCGATTCTTCTCATTAGAGCGCCATATTTATTTATATAAGAAGGTGCAAAGATATACTGCTATATCAATGCTTTTTCCACCTCTTGTAAAGAGTAATAATTATATTATTAAATGCTGTGCATCTATTTCTATATAAAAACAAAGATAAATGAGACATACAAGGCCTTTAATGAATATCATTTACAATGCTTGTTTTCAATTCCCTTTGAAAAACATAACATGATCCCATACGTGTTATAACAACCCATAGTTATGACTCCTGTCCTCTAACTTGGACATGCTATATTATTATTCATCAGTGATGTTATAAATGACTCACTGTGGCAAAATGTTATCTCATTCAAATGTAATTCAAAGGCCAAAAAAGACAAAGATTGGAGCATCTGGTCAAAATCTGGCCATTGCCATCTTTTCTTCCCCTCCATCCTCTCTGATCTTTCCCAAATCTTTGCTTTGCAGAGCTGACCAGCTGCCGTCTGACTGCCTGTCTCAGTCTAGATATCAAACGTTTAACCTAAAACAACACACATCACAGCATTGATTAAAAGTTTAAAATTGTTAGCTTGTTACCTTTTCATTCATGTAAGTCCACTATTTAAACTCTGTGTGGTTGTACTTCTCTTTATTACTGTCCATCTTCACTATGTGAACTTAGAGGATATTTAAGCTCATTATATGGTAATTTTTACAAGAGATGAATACATTGTGGTGATTTAACGATTTAACGTCATCACCTTCACTTCCAGGATTCAACAGACGTACAAGACACCAAATATTATCTTCACTTAAATATCTTTCTTATTGTAGCCTGAATTCCTGGTTATATCTTGTCTTATACAAAGTGCAGCCATCCACCACTGGCTGGGACTATATATCAGGTTTACGCTTGCTGTCATGATGCTATAATACTTCTATTCATCTAATTCTTTTGTTGAAACTCTGTTTCTTGCACAGATGACCAATGACATCTTGTGGTGTTCAAGGATCACGGTTTCTTAATGAGAACCCAAGAAGGTGAACTGGTTGTGCATTTTGGAGAGGCTGCAAGTATTAGTTTTAGGTCAACCATGTTATGTAGTTGCCAACAACTATTTTTGTTGTTCAGAGGAGAGAGGATAAAGGGGGGGGGGGGGTCAGAAGACTGATGGGATAAGATGTTTTAATGTAGCTGACAGGTTCATCCCTGATCTAAGGATGCAGAGGCTGATCAGACTTCACTTTATCATAAAGATTGAGTTTAGTTGCAGAAAATAATAAGAATGAATAATAATAATAAGTGGCTGTAATTAAGGGTTAGTTTACATTGAAATTAAAGGTAAACAAAGAGATTGGTTAGGTTTCTTGAAAGTGTGATCATTGGTTAGGTTTGGAGTCTCTGGAAATAAAGATCCTAACACCTTTTAAATAATAATCAGCCTTATATGAACATCAGCAGGCATGTAATGAGTGTTTTTTTTTGTTTAAAGATAGATACAAATCTCTTACTTTAGTTCTCATGATTCATGTTAAATGTGAGAAATAATCTGATCACGGAGAGGAAACATTTTTCATCATCCTATGTCAGATCACGTAACCTTTTTTTTTTTTTTTAATTAATTAATTTATTTTTGTTCGATAGTGAATCGGAAAAAATATCTAAACCTTCGTCAAACTTATCTCACCATGATTAGTCATAACAAACTGTTGTTTAACACGTCTTATGTATCATTTTGCAGCAGATATATGTTTGTTTGTAATATTTTTCAAAGCACCTCTTGGTGGCTTTTTAACCCTGAGTACATCCTGTATTAAACTGTTCTTGTTGGCCCAATTCACTAAGGGATTACATGGCTTATACACTTATCAATCTTGTGCAAATAAGTTAAAACAACATGGTCCAAGTCACAAAGCACAGGCAAAGAACTGAATGCTCCACAAGCTGTGCTGCAAACAGCGTCTCTGTGCATTGGTGCAGTTTGCTTACATTTAAATGAGCCATCTCATCCACCAGATCAGATCAACAGGTGAGACGTGTCCTTCTACATACAACCCAGATATGGAGCAGAGATGTGCAAATGATGCATAACTTTTGGTGCTATTGGTGAATCAGGCCCTGTGTGTTTAAGTCAATAAGTCAGACTTAATATGACTGGAAAACGCTACTTAAGAGCATCATCATATTGACAGGTATCAGGTATAGATCCACTGCCCACAACCAATTTACTGGACTTTCCACTCTCCCCTAATGTATTTCACTGCATTTTTAATATATTCTCTATATCTTTGCATGGTGGGCTGCAGAGAAATGTCTTATTCAATTCCAGTGTATGTACTCACATATGACAGAAATGGACAATAAAAAAACTGAATCTTGAGTATACTGTGTCTGTGTGTATCCTTCCTTTTTTTTTTTTTGCACAAAGTTTCATCTGTGAATAAACGTTTTATGAACAAGTACTGGTGTAATGTCTTGCTCCCACAAACTCCTTTACTGCATGTCAAATCCATCTATCCACATACTCTCCTCCCAACATTTTTCACATTCAGTTAGAAAAATCTGATACAGCATATTCAATTATATTGACCTGCAGGGAGATGAAGAAATAATTAGATGGACACGATCCTCAAGAAACCACTGCTCCGCCTTACTGCTGCACCTACTTGATAGTTGTAACTCTGTTGCATGTGATTCATACACACCCAAAACTCTGGGAGAGGCTTTGTGTGTTAGTATAACACCATCATGCGCAACAGACTGGAGCTTTAAGTCCCACATCTAAAGCCTTTCAGTGAGCGCTCACACACTCTTCCAATGTGATCAATAATCGCTCTATACTCACAGCACAAAACATACTGACTCTTCTACACACGCAGCACAGAGAGCCAAATCCACTAAGGAAATGTGAGACTTGAAAAAACAGAAATTATATACTCTGAGGCAGGCATCAAACCACAGTGGGCCCATGTAGCCAAGATAACAACAGCAAAGCACTTTCTAAATGACAAAATGATACTGGCTGCAGTCCACAGCACTCTCCCTCTCTTCCTCTGTTAGTCCTCTTCTCAAACACAGACAGCCTCTCAAACAGTCCGTCGTACCATCAAAACAGAAATCTTCTTTGACAATATGGTCTTCCTTCCTCTGAACTAAGCTGATGGAGAACAATATTTGTGCAGTGACTGAGGTTAAACGTATTTCACCTTCATCCATGCTGCTGGCGACTGGCTGCCGGCTGTGCTCTTACGTATAAGCCTGCCCGTTTATTTTCCCGCCCTGCAGAGGGGCTCCGCATGAAGTTTCATTCGCATGAAGCCAGTCGAGCTGGAAGCAAAAGGGAGGAGTGAAAAGAGGGCAGGGGAGTTGTTTTTGTTACCACACTCAGTGCAATGATGCAATTCATAATTAAAATGCTAATTTTAACAACAGGGAGTCTCTCTTTACCTTGTTTTCATTTTACTCCAACAGTCACTCCAACAGTCTCGGGGGAGGCGGGTCTCTGCCTGGGATCAATGTATCCCAGTCAGTAAATCAATTTTTATACCAAGCACTGAAATCAATTTGAGATTAAGGCTTTAACAGAATCTGTACAAAGTGAGCTGCATGGACACACGTGCCTGCCTGTGGCCAAGAAACATTTTTTCCACTTTGCTATGATTATGTGTGTGGGAGCTTTAAAGGCTCACATCCCTAAACTGAGGGCTAAAAGCAATTATTTGGGCAACAAGAAAACTCAAGGCCTGTCTGACACATTCGCCATCAGCCTGTCTCTGTTTTGACTCTAGCTTATCACAATAGGTGCCTCAAACATCCCCTAAGCTTCAATCTCGACAAACAACAAAGACAAACGCCGTGGAATGAATCATTTGATGGGAGTTTCATTTCAGAAGTGAGCCTGACAGACAAAACAGAGGGGGAATCAGAGGAGAGGAGGCCTTTTTTAGTGGTTGTCCTTCAGCGTGACTTTGTCATGTAACACATTTCCAGCTCAATTATCTGCATCCAGTGGATTTCAAACACATTTAGCAAGGACCAGAGAGCTTGGTAATTAGCAGGAGCCCTGGCTCATAAGGGGGCCAAAAACAAAGCCTGTCTTTAGCGCTATCTTTATCCCCTCCGCTTGTCTAATCTCTTCTGATCCTTTTGCTTTTCACAGAGGGTGCTGTACGTCATGTGTGCACTCAGTCAATACCTTTACACACCAACAGGTTTCAGCTTTCGGATACGGAGGCATGACACAAGACAAGATACTCCATCTGTATGAACAGGCTTAGAAAATAAGAAAACCTGTCTGATGGCTATCAGCAAGGACGCTGTATGTAACATGCAGCAAAATATATTTATAAGATGGCAGTTTTTTCTTTAAAATATGGAGACATAAAGTGTCTAGAAAATTTTGCAAAAGCAAATTGCTGAAACCTACCCTTACCAAAAAGAAGTATGTTGAAGTGTACTTCAAGTATACTGTGTTTAAACTAAGTATGCTTTCAGTTGACTTTTTATGCACTTTTCAGAGATATACTTCACAGTTATTATTAAGTTTACTTGGCTTGTACTAAGAATTATATTAAAACTCTAAATATATTTAACCTTTACTTAGACATAAACTTCTGTTCCAGATATACTTAAGTATGTATTTGTGCCTTAGGTTTAAGTATACTTGGTCAGTGAATATTTCATTTATCTTTTTAAGAGTATACTCTCTGAGTGTACTCTTAAAAAGATAAGCAGTAAAAGCCAAGTATACAAATATGTACTACTATTGAAATAATAGTATACCAATGCTTCAGAGTCAGAGTGCAGATAGCCGAGTAGATTAACTGTGGTCCTCACTGTGATCACGAGTTTGATTCCTGTTCTGACCATGTGCCGCATGTCCGTCTGCCCCCCCCCCCCCCCCCCCTACCCCACACACACACACACACACACACACACACACACACACAAACAAAGAATATTAATAAAGGTATGCTTCAGAGTGAACTTTTATAAACTAAAAGAGACTGGAAGTTTATTACTAGTAAGTATACCTATAAGTTTACTTTCAAGTATGCTTCAAGCGTACTTTAATAAACTAAATTGAGCCAATTTGGTCCCAAGAAGTTTACTTTTAAGTACACTGGTGGTATATTTGTATCAGTGTACAAAGCATACTTTGAGAAGTATACTAAAATGAACTTAAGTATACTTTATAAAATGTACTTTAGGTATACTTTTTTCTTGTAAGAGTAGTGATATCACATGTACACTTGCGGCAGTAGTAGATCCAGAGGTTCCCACTGCTGGAATTTGGAAATACTAAGATTGAAAAAGAAAGAAAACTTCCTCAACTTTCATCTGTAGTGTTTCATGACAGTTTTCAGATTTTGTCAACTCCTTCTCCTGTACTAGTTTTCCATTTTAATAGCAAACTGAAATCAAATCAGGTTACTTTGGCACAGTGATGTTGCCTCAAATATAATAGCTTACAGTTTTCCCCCTAACACTAAGAATGACTGATTTCATTCAGGCATTGACCTGGAAAGTTGACATTTGCAACTTAATTTCAATAAAATAAGTCATGTACAAAGAGCTGACCCTCTAGAGGGTTTTCTTACCAATGCCTGAAAGAAAGATGATCCCACTGTTTTAGGTGTATTCAAAGAAAGAAAAAAAAGGTGTCTCTATGGGTCAAAATTTGGAGCATGTAACACACTTATTTATTTATTTTTTTGGTCGGTTTGGCTGCATCCTGTACGCCACTGTGGCCAAGTGACACTAACATTTCAGTAAGTAAACCTGGTCTGACTGAAAGGACTTTGCAATGGAAGACATACAGTGAAGAGTCCAGGCGAGTGGTCTAACTCTTGACAAAATTCTTCATGGATCTGTATCTCAAAACAATCAAAGCTTCCAAAGGCTGAGCTCAATGACTGTACCAGCAAGACAGCAAACTCCTAATGGTGAGGATTCTGCATATAGGAGTTATATAGGAGTTTCTGTACAAATAATAAACTGGATTTAACACTGAATGTAAAGTGTGAATTAAAATCAAAATGTTAAATACCAAAAAAGTGGATAAGCAGATGAAAGAGTAATTTAGATATGAGACCTTCCAACCTTTTTTCTTTCCAACTGCTATAATGATGAATTAGCCTGCAGCTGCACAAGTCATTGGTTTTTTGAGATGTCATTTTACAAAGTTAGTCACATGTGCAAAAGAAAATGGATAAGTAGAGTGGGTGCGACATAAAAGACCTGTTTTCAGAGGGAAAATGAATCAAAGTACAAATCACTGCCAAATATGGAAGAAAGGATAGACAGCAAAGACAGGTATAAGAGACACACCTGTTTTGCCTTTTATCGTCCTGTTTCAAGAAACGATCAATGCACAGGATATCAAGAAAAAGCTAATACACTTTTACTGAGTAGTTGTGCTCCCACTGTTGGTCCTCTGTTGGCACCAGCTACTTCAAACTGAAGTGGATCCACAAGCGCACACACTCACACAAACCAACACAGCCAACTAAGATTAGCTGATCACTTGACTTGTTAAACGGTCATACCAGCGTGCTGAAGTATCAGGATTAAGACCAATCTTGGTGCCATCATGAGAAGAAGTGGGGTCAGAACTGGCACATTTCCACACAACAGCAGAGATGGACTATGGGAGAATATATATCCCTGCTTTTTTGCAGTTGTCCCACCTGATTTCTCTCATGCTGGAGGAGCCCAGACCAGAGACAGAAAACCACACGTTGAAAGTTGTTAAGCTGTAATTTAAAGCTTCGGTAAGGAGTTTTTGATATTTATGAAATTAACTGGAATTTATCTTCAAGAAACTAACAATCAGCTGTTTGTTTACATACAAAGATGGTCATGCTTGTTGCGCCAAATTCTGACTTGACACCATGGGCTCTATTTTCTGGGCATGGTGGCGTGGCAGGGGGAGGTGTCGATAGAATCAGCGGGCGCAGTGACATTTTCGTGCTCGCCAGTGGCGTGTAAAGTGCACTGAAAGCTTGCTGATTCAAACCTGGTCAGCTTTCAGCGCAGGCGGAGTGCAGCTGGTCTAGTGGTATTTTGGTAGACCGGCGGCGTATCGACATACGTCACCGATGCCTCACCGGCAGGTTTCCACAGCGTCGGGCACATTTCAGTGCAATAAATAATCAACAACAACTAATAATCTGAGTCAGCACATTTAGATCTATATAGATATATTCTGATCTATATCTGATCTGATGAGCGCGTTTGGCTCGTGTTTGGACACACAACCTGACCGCATCAACACAGCTGAAACCGCATTAAATTAAATTAAATATCTAGTAAATAAACACACATGATGAAGCCATGTTTGGTATGAAGGTCTGTCTGCACTGAGGACAACTGTAGATCTTCTTCTCATCCACAGTATTCCAGTGGAACTGAATATACCTCATGCAGAGGCTGTATCCACAGGAAACAGTCAACGGATCCTTCAGAAGATCCAAACAGATGGAACAAGAGAAAGATTTCTGGTCCAGATGAACCCCTTTCTGCGCCATTTCAACACTCGCTGTCAACGAATGGCTGAGTTTTATTTCCCGAGAGGTCAAACTATTCTGAATTCTGATCTCAAGTCAGCTCAGTATATGTTGGTTACACCCATCCTCAGACTGTACATCTGATCAGGTGATCAGATCTGGGAGGGGAAATCCAGTTCTTTTAAAATCAGAGAAGGGGAGGGGCAATGGGAACTTTAGACTCTCAAGCAAACAAGCAAAGGTTAGTAAAGCTGCAGCGGTCCTGAAAATCAACTGCACCATCATTCATTTACCTCATAAAAAACTCATGGATCACAGAAAGACTTCCACTGTTTTATATCCACACATATTTAAATATACACATATACACTCTCTCTCTCTCTCTCTCTTTCTCTAGTTGACCTCTGAGGGAGCATTAGTTTTTCTAACTTGTCTTCTTTCTTTGTGTTGTTTGGTTTGTGCTCGTTGTTTACTCTCAATTACCCTTCTTATCATCCTTTTTTCAAATCTGTGTCTCCTCTTTCTCTGCCATCTAGGAAGGTGATCTTCTTCAATGTACCCAACTGAGCCATGTGGTCTCTCATGGATGTCTGGTCTAGATGATCCTTAACAAGAAGAATGAGGAGCTCAATCTGTTGTCATCTGAGGGTTGATGACTTTGACTCTCATTGATGTCACCTCTGAAAATAGGAAATGTCTTTGCTGTAAGAGGAAGGGCCATCTGATTAGAGTCCGTCCATTTAGCTGGGGGAGACACTGAGGGGGACAGACAGACACACAGGTGAGCAGGGAAAGGGGGCTAGAGTTGAGCAGTAGATAGGTGGAGCGGTGGATGAGGAATCTGATGTATTGAGGGATGTAGATATGGGGTCTACTTTAAATTTACAGCATCATGCAGCATGTAGAGGAAGACTCAGAGCTGAACCTGCAGCAGAGGAGATGGAGAAGGGGTTTTCTTTTGCTACTCCTATGTTAACTTTGATTGGACTTTGCAGAACAAGCAAACTGGGTTCACCTTTGGGAAAGAAAGCAGTCAGCAGCTGCCTCTCCTCATTTTGCTGTATTTCTTTTTCTTTCCTCTCTTTTTTTCTTTTAAAAGATTTATAATTTTGGGCAGCATGATGTCTAGGTCATTCGATCGGGGCTCAATGATGTTACACTTGTTGCTGTAAGCATATTGACCATTTTTTATATTGATACTGAGGGAAATTATTTTAGATATTTATCGTGATCATTTTATTGCCCAGCCCTAGGAGGGCCCAATTCATTTATGATAAAAACATCACAAAAAAATGTTTTTTTTCATGCTTTTACACAAGCTGGCCTTGAGAAGTAATGAAAGTTACCGGGAAAAGATGTAAAAGCAGCCTGAGGAGCTAATCGACCCTAACCATCTCTGAGAGGGAAAAGTGGAGCAAGATCCTGACCTGTTGGAAAGTCACTTAAACCATAAGCAGTTATGATCATTGCAACAATGCTAAAAATCCTGACACCATGTAGTTTATGTTTAAAAGCATGTCAAAAACAAAGCCTGAGAAGGAAAGCTGAATAAGGACAGAAGAGTCTGTTGAAATCCTGCTCAGTTAGCTTTACTGGAAATATCCATTCCAATGTAAATGATGACAAATAAGCATGCCTGTGTTTTAGATTGACCAAGAATTGAAACGCTGAATTCAATGTTTGTTTGCCCCAGTGGGATGCTGGTAAAAATGTGCTACTATTGAAGCGTTACTGGCAATGGGAGAGGAAAGAGTCCGTTTTTCATCAATAAAACCAACTTGAGATCAATATTTGATCAATTTGTTCATATCTTAGTTGGTAACTGCTTTTCTTCACATAAGATAAGATAAGAAGAACTTTATTGATCCCTAAAAGGAAACTCACATTGGGGTCCTGCTTACCTGTCAGTATTTTAATTGCGTCACCAACTCCTCACTATACATCATCTCTTTAATTATGCAACACACTGCCTTAAGAATAAATACACCGTTTCTTACTTATGATTAGATGAGAAAGTTCATGTTTTCCACTCTTTGTCAGATGTTTCATTAGCTGGGAAGGCCATTTTTGGAGGTCCAAAAATTCATTAGTTCACCTCCACTGTATGGAAGTAAGTCTGAGAGTGCAGTGAAAAATGTGCAGACAGGTGCACACAGTGCTCTCTGTCTCGTTGCTTCGCTGTTGCTCTTTTCAGCGAACGAGAAGGAAGAGGAAAGGTAGCTCCACTAATAAGTTCAGCTCTATCCATGGGTTACACTTGGTACGACAAGGGTTACTCCTGTGTGTGCCCCACCGTCACTCTGCCTCCCAATTACCACATTTACACACATATACACACACTTACTCATTCATTTATATTCAGAGAGAATTTTAAATGCTCTCCATTAAATGTATAAAAGATAGATCCTCTTTTAAAGCCATAAGTGATCTCCTCACCTTTCATACATTGTTATCTATACATTTAAGAGCACATATATTATACAGCAAGGAGCTGAAAATGAAGAGTGTCAAAGCAGGGGCTTGATTATAAAAAGGAAATGCCAGTAATGGGAAGAAAAAAATACTACTGTCAGATGAGGCTTAAATGGTGTGACAGGAAGAAATGGAGAAAACTTTTAAAATAGGCTCATGAGATAAACTTAGATGAGTTTCTCTCACCTTGTTTGCTGGTTATGCACCTTTCAAATGATAAACATAATCCATGTAAGTGTCATTTCAATTCAACAACCACACTTTTTTCACATTATAGCCATGTGTAACTTCATTTGAAGCTGCAAAACGAAATTGAAAATGCTAAAATTTTGAATAGTTTCCGTGTTAATATACGGTTCTCTGGTGACATTTTCAATATGCACTCTCGGGAGAACCCCAGTAGAGATTGTGGTGGGCGTCGAGTGCCTGCAGTCTTACGTCTCTGTTTGGCTGCTGGCACCTAAATGTCAACCTCTATCCTCGCAGAACTGAAGTGGAAAAGACGGCAAAGTTGCAGCTCTGAGTCCGTGCCAGACGGCTGTGAACGTGTCATATCATCTGTATTAATCAGCTGCTGGTCTGATTCTAGATCAGTTTATTACCAGTACACAAGAGTCTCAGGGAAGTCATAGTGGCAGAATACCATCTGAACCCCTGTGACACTATGAAGATAACACCCACAAAATAACTTGGTGTCGGAAAAGGCGACAAAACCCAGTGTGTCATCCTCCAAATCCAAGCCTCCCTGAGTCCTCTTAAGGTTACATGTGTTCCCCTCAATATTCTGTGCAGGGCCGAGCCTTTTGGAGGGTCATCAGATGGTACCGGGTGCTGTAGTCGCTTCTGAAAGCAGGAAATGCCAGGCAGATAAAGCCGCTAGACTACCAAACACACAGACACACACAAACACACACACAGTGACATTTCAGATCTCTGGGACCGTAACCAACAGTTACGCTCTGAATCCAAACCTTCCTCATTCATCTTCCTCTCTTTCACTATCTCTGAGAGCACTCCCACAACTACCAAACTTCCAGCACTGAACTCAGCGTCAAGCACCTCTTCTGCCATTTACAATGACTCACTTTAACTATTACACAGATTTCTCCTTTTGCATAAATGGCCCCAGCAAATCAGCCATATCAGGCGGTCTTTTGGTGGAGACCCCCCCTGAGATTATCGCTCTCTAATGAAGTCATTTGAGTCAGGCGGGCACATTCCCGTCTCTCAACGGCCATTCAAAAGCACCACAGAGACTTCCTGTGCTCCAGCAGATGCCAAAATGGTGATAGACGCAGAGACAGATAAACAGACAAAACAAGCGAAGAACTTCACAGAAAGGACCCCGACAATGCTTATCCCAAACTATGTAGATGAATATCATACAAATACAAGGAGGAGGACTTAGAAGTGTGGAATAATGCAGACCAATCGAGTCTGCTTTCTCCTTTCACAGACATATCTGAACACAAATATTCTTTGTCCACAGAAAAATACAACCAATGTGAAAAGGAGTAACAAAAAAGACAGATTCAGGACTGTTTTGACTGACAGAAACTGAGAGAGCAGAGCAAACAAGGAAGACAGGCGTCAAAACAAATCAGATTCAGGTCCGTGTACCTCTGGATAAGCAAGATGGATTTATCTTGAAGATGTAACCTGAGAGACAAAAGGAGGAGTTTTCCTCAGAGCCAATCACAGAATTTCTAAGTGCTGTATTTTCATCCACTGTTAATTTTCATTCACCCATAAGGCTTTGCATTTCAGGATACATTCATGTACAATTTTAAAACAACCTGAAGACTGGCAATTTTAGACACCCTACTGTGGTCTTTATTGACATTACCGTATCTCAAATACAGTCTTTAACTATGATATTTACAAACAAATGTCAAGCTGGCATGGTGAGGGGGTTCAAGATACTGAGAAGGGAAGAATGGTTTATTGTTTAGCTTATTGTTGGCATGAAATAAAGCCTTGACAGCACACTGAGAGATACATGCACACAGCTTCAGGGGCTTGCAGCTACTCTGTACAACTGGCACATACCCCCATAATTTGTTTACTCTTCCTCCTGTGTTAGCTTTTACTACGCACCTACTATGTTAAGGATCGGTTTCAACCCGTGTCTTAAATCAGCTGCAAATTACAGTAAAAACATTTCTCTATCATCCAACTTGGTTCTCATCTCTAGTTTACCTTGTTAGGTTTCATTATCCATGAAGATATTGCTTATAATAGTTTTTGTTGTGGGCCCTTTGGGCCTTTCTGTGTCAGTATACCCCTCATACAGATATCTATACTGAATGGATCGCACATGTCTGGACATGCCAGCTGTTTTTTGTGCAGAGAAAAACATTGCAAAATGAGAATTTCCTAAATCTCACATGATTGGAAGAGGATCTGACTGTCAGTGTGATGCCTGAGAGTGCACTTATAATTTCAGTTTTGCTCTAATTATTAGATATTAATCTGACCGCGACCCTAACATGACAAGTGCCATAATTTGAATAAGAGCATTTTATAATTTAGTCAATTTAATATTTTTATCTTTATTTTGTTGAAATAGAGGTTCCTGACGAAGTCAAAAAGTCTTAATGCAAAAAAGCCAATCTAAGTGGTTCTTTTAAGCATTTAAAAACAAAAACGGGTCGGTGCAGACCCTAACACAGGAGGAGGGTTAAGACATCAACATTTGCTAGAAGGAAACAGACTGTTTTTATGCTGATGGTCTTGTTTGCTCTGATTGAAACTTCTGTGTGTTTCATAACATAACTGAAACTCCTCACAGGAGCTTGTGCAAAATAAATAAAAGGAGTACATTCAGAGGAATAAAGAGAGGAAATAAAACCTGATCAGGTGAATTATTTTTTAAAGAAAGCTTAACTACTAAGCAACAAATCTAAAACAAAATCTGTGTTTATCAAGGTGTTAAGCCAGACAGTTAAGTCCCAACAGCTGTTGTTTCTTGGCAAACTATCTTCAGGTAAACAGTTTAAGTTAATTCTCCAGGTAAATTTAATCACTCAAATTGAAGTTTAGTTTCAGGGATTTTTTTTCCAGTGACCTGAATGTTCAAAAATATATTGGCAATCTGCAAAGTGTTTTAAAGTAGCAATAAAAACAAAAATCATAAATTCTTAAATTTAAATCGACATCTGCACAAGAGCACAAAGTACGTGTTAAAGCTCCTGTGAAAACTTTATTGATATTTATGATAAAGACTACAACTTATATTTTATCATGCACAGAAGCAAGTAAGACCAACAGAAACAAGACTATGTATGTTTATATCATACCCTTGATGTGTTAAATTTGTGCTGGGGGGTCTTGCCAAGCAGCTGAAGAAAGATTACACAATTTCCACATAATCATTCAGATTAAATTAAACATTTGACTATCAACAGTCAGCAGAATGAGACTATTGTCTGAGGACACTACTTCAGCATGTAGATGATAAGATGAGCTACGACTACTTCATCGACAGAGGAGGCCCCAAAATTGACCAGAAAAAAAGTTTCTGACATGAGCTCTAATTGGACAGGAGTTGACATGGGCCAATAAAAACATGTATCATCCCAATTCCATGTAGTTCGATGTGCTGATCTTTAAACTAAATGTAGGCTACCTGTAAAGGTGCACATAGGTTGGGGCAAAAGCAATAGCTGTCAGATGAGTTAAAACTCTGTTTTAAAACTTTTTGTTTAAAAAAAAAAAAAAAAAAAAAAAAAAAAAGTAGTATTCCAATTCAATTGAGAGGGGAGTATGTCCACTAGCTAATGTTCTTGCTCTACAGAAGCCTCCTTCGCTGTTGCCATGCTAAAAAGTCACAAATACTGAATAAACACGTGTTTCTCTATTAAATATGACAAATTATTGAATATACAAGAAAATCCCCAGCAATGAAGGACAAAGCAGGATGCTTCTTTTCTGCAAGTTTTATATTTGTTACGTTCCTTTTAAGGAGGTCCACCAATTGGTGACATCACAAATTGGATAAGTCTCGAGTCCCTTACGTTTCATTTTTGTGACTTTTTCAACAAGCTGTTTAGAGTTATATTCTAAGATCCTAAGATTATTCCTACTAGTTTCCCTCACAGTGTGACACTTTGCCCAGGGTTTTCATTGACATCCAACAATTTGACCTAGTATTTTTGCGGTGAAATCCCATCTTTCTATTACCTATCCCACAAACATGATACTACCACTCTAAATACAAAATGTTGTCCATAAGATTTAAAACTGGTGGTGAACAACAGCAGGACATGAGCATGTAAAGAATTCTTTTAAAATATATGTAAATATATTAACTACATTCAAAGTGATAATTATGCCTGGAAACAGGAATGCACCTGTCGCTAACAAATGGACAAAATGTAGTTTTAAAGTCTGCATGTGAGTTGAAAATATTTGTGCTTCTCTACTTTAAAATACACAGTAAAGACATCTTTTATTTGCAGGAGGAACTGAAACAGCAGACTCAGATTTTAAAGCAAACTCCTACATAACCAACAGTTACAGATGAGACAGTAAACAACAAACTGTGCTGTGAAAAGGACGCATATGGTGGGGATGTAATGACACCAAAAGAACTGCTCTTCTGTCTAAGGAACACAAAATACCAAATGTGTAAAGTTTGATTTTTTTATGCATCCCGTACTCTATTTATGCTGCAGCAGTGTGAGCTCTTCCTGGCGAACCAAGAGTTTGATCAGCATAAACAGCAAACAATCAGACAAGACACACTGAGCAAACTCATTTACATCCAAGGCTGTGATTGGATAAACTGTCACAGTCCACCCGGTGTCCTTGACTGACCACAATTTACAACATGACTGACAGCTAACAGTGACAGCCCGCAGTGTCATGAGAAAAACAGAAAACCACAAAGACAGACCCTAAATACGAACAAAAGGAAGGACAAATAAAGGCAAGAGAGACAGACATGAAATGAAAGAAGCTTCACAGACAAGAGTCAAGACATGTGAGGCCCATCAAAAGGAGCCCTACCAGAGGGAAAATAGAAATAAAACACAATCATTAACTAGCTCTGCCACGCTTAACAAGGATCTCACAGAGATGAGGAAGGAGGAGGAAGTGGAGAGAGCCGCAGGGTTGCTGCGGCAACTGAAATTAGAACCTCGGATAACAAGAAAAATGAGAATGTGTGGGATGACCCAGGTGAGGCAGACACTGATGGGGAATAGATAGAGAGGCAGAAATGAAACAAAGAAAAAATATTCGAATAACAACTTTAAACCTTGTCATTACCCACAACAATGGAAACACTGACACTGATTGGAGTTGTGTAAATATTTCAGCCACTGTTTTATATTTTCGAAACACGCCATTTTTATATGTTGCCATTTACACATAAAATCACATTCAGGGTGGGAAGACTGAATTCAATTAATAAAATTGTAAAACCAGGGCTGTTTCTTCAGTGGCTCCTACCTCCTCACACTGTTCTTGTTTGTTTTTGGATATGATAAAAAGACATCAACTTGAATTTCAGTGTTATTCACAAATGTCAAGAAAACCTCTCACTAGAGCTTTCACGATGAAATATGAATTTCCCAATTTAATGTCTTCTTATCCAGAGGCATTAAAATCATTACAGCTTTTCAAAGTTCTGGGAATTTAATTATTTGCAATCTTAAGGAAAGCGATCCTAAGCCCTTTTTGCACAGGATTAGTATTACCTGGAAACCTTTGATCATTTGAAATAACTGCAGAGGATGCCTGTGTTTTTAACCAAACCATTTTTGTAATTTGTAAAGTGGAAATACTCATGAGAGAAGTCCTTTGATTATATTAATCCAGTCCCAGTTGGCATTACTGAGTGTTTTGGGGTAGTACATTTTAACTGATAGTTGTTCTGTATGGCAAGACTTCTGAGATGTTACCACTGGCTGACAAAAAAAAGTCTCCTTAATGGAGACCTGTTAGCAGAGGGAACTGACTAAAACAAATTCAAAGTATGTGAGTGTGATTATTTAACATTATACAGCATGTCTTAAAGCTTATAATGCACCTGTGGTAGAAGTTAACTTGATTGGAGCGTCTTTTTTATGAGATTCCAGCAGTTTGTACTCTGTCAAGTGAAATGCTGACCTCTTGCATGTAATGCTAAAGCGTAGCAGCGGTTGAGCTTCCTATCCTGAGTATGCAGGAGGAACAAACATTTATATGGTTGGCGGTTAAAAATGGCTGGCTCATCTCCCACCACCCTGTATGATGAATGTCTACATCATAAAGGGTGGTGGGGGGTGATAAGCCAGCGCTGTTTTCAAGGCTCGGAGCGGCGCTTAAGCTAGCATCCACAAAAGACTGTGCAGCGTCTGCATCACGCTGGGGGGGGGGGGGGGGGGGTCAAAACCATCCTGCGCAAAACTGGCAGGGTATGAGCGGCGAGCACACGCAACCAGAATACCAAAATCAGTGGTGCTGACATGCCACACCTCTGAAACACATGGCGCTTCATGTCAGCATGCATGTATGAGCTAGAGAGAGGAGCGAGAGGAGAGCCCCACTCATCGCAGAGGAGCACAGAGGTAAATTTTTCTTGAAAGTAATTAAACGATCGTGAGCTTAAGAGTCTGAAAAGCGATTTGCCCCACCGGGACAATAAAGATTCCTTGAATCCTTGAATCCTTGAAATTACGCAATTATATTTTATGGGTTGTTTTGATAAATATAAAAATTAAACGTATACTAATACACAACTTCAATTTCTGTGTTGGGATCTTGTTGGCAGGGCAGGGGTATCCGTTGGCAGGGCAGGGCACCTTGCCAAATACACTATAGGGGAAACACTGCAGTTTTATCTTTAGGCTTTTGTAAGAGCCTCTAATGACTTCTTAGGGCCTGACTGTAAAATTAAATGAAAATGACCCCTTGCTACCTGAGAACCTCTTGAAAATATAGACATACTTATTATTTGAGGATGATTTTTACAACAGTGTGATAAAATTTGAAGCTCTGACAGAGAGGAATTTAGCCCTGAGCAGTAATCTAGCACCTTTCTCTGTTGGCTCGGAGGTTGCCAAGAGACGGATAATGCCAACTGGAGGCTGGCCGTTTGTAAGGTCTGAATGTTAAGACCTAAAATGTCAATATTGGTCCCACAGGAGGAGATAATTAAGGCATAAAGATCTAAAAGGCTTGTCACATATGGCTGGCCAGCTGTCACATCTGTCCGTTCATATTCACGCCGGTAACAATAAAGCCTATACTAAAGCAGCGGAGAAACAGCTGAGCATTAAATGTCAGCTGACTGAGCTACAACCAAAGGCTCACACACTGAACGAGGACAAGGCTGGCATTTAAAACAATACACAAGCTCCACTTCTCATTTTAGACGTTCACTCCCGAGTGGCTTGTCTCAGAAAGATCTATTCCCTGTGGTTTTACTTCACACATCCCCTGTGTTCAGTGTTATGGGAGGCAGCATTGCAGAACCAACAGCAGAGAACAACATCGAAGGGAAAGTGTTCAACTCTGCACAACTCCAGCAGGATTAGTGATGGATACATTTCCCCTTTGTGGGCAACAGGGTGTTGCAGTGACAATCCCTCAAGTGGAAGACCTTTAGGTTCAAACTGTAAAGCGTCTGCCATGCTTATCAACAGCCTGTTGTGCCAATGAGTGAATAACTTTAAATTACAACATCACTTAGAGTTCATTTCCAGAGAAAATACGGGATGTAATAACATTACCAGCCAGTCAAAAAACTTTAAAGCTAGGACTGGCAATTTAGTGAGTTTGATTAATTCACAGATATTTTACCTATATTTCATATACACCACAATTATTTCATATATTAGTTGAAATCTATTCTGCAACTGAAAATTAATTGAAAGCTCCTGCAAACCAATAGTTTTGTTTTCTTTCAGCACCTCCTCTCCCCGCTCTACTCCTGCACACATGAAGCACACCTGTACCTGTGCTCCCTGCACACAGCTGCTTGACCTAGCCCACCTCTTCCTCTTTGTCTCCCTTTCTCTTCATCAGTTGGATGATTTGTAAGTCACAAAAGTTAAGATTAAGGAAACAGTTTTGGTGGACGATAGATGTGCATTATAACACAGCATTGCAACATTTTCAGTAAGACTGTGGTTACAAAGAATATGGGGTATGGCAAAATTACAAGAAATTAAAGATGATTAAAATTACAGCATATGTATTTGCCATCTTTGTAGAGTGAGTGTTGATAGTTGTAAGATCAGTGACGTATGATAATGAATGTGTACTGAATCTGTGTCAATTCTTATAACAAATCATTCTCTGAAATAAATATCATTTTGACAGCCCACAATGACTGAACAACAAAGCAGATGTAGTCCTTTTAACCAAGTAGGCAGTCTTTTGTTTTGTATATATAAATTCATGCAGCATTACTATTATTACATACAACATGATACAATAAAAACATATCATACAATTCAACACGGCATCATTCAGTTTGAAAAGATATGATATGATACAATGCCATATAATATGATGCAATATTATACCATACCATACAATGCAGCACAGTTATATACGCCTCAAAACAGTATGATTTGCTGTGCTTTGATATAAAAAGATACTTTAATAAGGATGTTACAATGAATCACGAGACAGTTAAAAATCAACTCAAATGTGTGACAAATCAAATCAAATCGGCTGAAATGAAAATGATTTGCGGTGCCCTTTTTAAACAGCAAAGGGTGCGTTCACGTGATCAACATCGTTATTTGTTTGGTGTTATGTGTCACTGATTCAGACATAGCAAGAGACATGACAGTGGCAGCAAATGATTTTGAAGTCGAGGATGTACAGACCAGTCTGGGTGTGATTGAATGCTATCCCGAACAGCAACCAGCGGTGGAAGTCGTGCTCCTCAGCACTGACTTCTGGTGAAATGCCTGTGTATAACTCAGAAATCCATGATGTTGGGGACACTGTAAGCATTCTTACCGTGCGTTCACACCAAGCACGAATAAAATCATTCACTCGCTTAATTTGTATCTACACACAAAAAGGCCCACAACTGTCAGAGATGTAGGCTTCGCCATGTTACCGCCATGTCTCCTTCAAGAGCTGCGCCTGGATGACATCCGTTTCCAGTAGTATAACAGTAGTTATCCGAACCCAATTAATTTATTTCTATTTGTTGTTGTTTAATGCACTTTAATAAGAGGACGTATACATTGTATTACACAGTTTGCTCTACCTCAGAGGAATAAAAAGAGGGTTCTCATTAATTTGTTAAAGATAAGAGACAATGGAATTTGTAGTTATATATATATATATAATAATAATGCTTTTTACATAAGCATTCATTGCATAATGTTTTTTCAAGTTACACCTTACCTCAGAAATGTGTTTTTTTTTGTTTGTTTGTTTTTTGTCCTGAGAAATAATTGAAAGAATCTTTTTCAGTCATAATTTGTCAGCATAAATTTTTGTAAAAAAAAATAATAAAAAAAATAATAAAAACAGAGAGAAAATGGTATCGTCAACCCAGAATCGGAATCATATTGAATCTGCAATTGGGTGTATCATTACATCCCTATACTATAATATACAATCTAAAAGGTTACGATATGATATTACAAGACACGATACAATTGGATGTGAAAAATTTTATAATATATGATATAAATAAACACTACAATATGACATTATTTGATGCATCATGAGACGATAACACACAACATGCCACAATACTGGGTCCCACTATCACAATAATATATCGATGCACTAATACTGGAATATTCTATATAATGCAAGAGGATCAAATAATATGTCCTGGTATCTAACAGCCCTTTTAAAGGAAATGTTAGGAGGAATTTTTTTTACTACTTTGGTTTTAAGTCACAAATTTAAAACGGTTTGTATGTTTCTGGTCTGTAAATTAAATGAACAAAACTATAAACTAACTGTAGGCCTTGAACTAGTGGTAAACCAATCCAGCTTGTATTTGTGAATTTGTTCATATTTTATGCATTAACTTTCAATTATAAACTCTGAATGACAAAACCTGTAACAGCCACAGCCGTATTTGCCATTATGTCAATAACTGCAGCAGAGTATTTACCAATGAGCTTTCATAGCCTTCAGTAAAACCTCTGCTTTATAAGTGGTGATCTAAGTCCTGTGCAGCACATCCGAGTGTATCTCTGCATGCTGTCAATAAACTAGGCAGTAATTATCATATAAGACTCTGGAGACCATCACAGGTGAGTAAAATTCTCTTGGGCAGACTTGGGTGCATCCTCTGACTCGTCTCGTCTCTGCATAAAGAGCTGGCACAGCTTTGTCCTTCCTCTCTCCTTTTTTCTTCTTCCCTCTTTTTGGTGTTAAAGTAGCGTATGCATCTCTTAACTTCTTTTCACGTATGGCTGTATCCTGCCAACCTCTCCTTCTGCTGCTTTGCTGCCATCAAATTCTTCTTCAGCCAATTAACCGCTGTCCACATTACCCTCATTCATGTCATTAGTGTCACCCCAAGAAGTAATGGTGCAACGAGTCTAATCTACATAGCGCTTCTTTCTATTTTTTAATACAAACACCCACATTTGGCTGTGGCTTATCAATAAAAGTATCTCAGCAGCAAAGATAAAAATATAATGCTATTTTGATAGTTTATGTCATCTCTCCTCTTGAAAATAAAGTGTCCAAAGGCATTTTGGTCTGTGCTCGCTCATAAAGATGTTTCAAATTGACAATAAAGGTGGAGACTCATTCAAATTAAGTGCAATGGTCCAGAAACAGGTGATAAAGCACACTAGAGCCTCTACATTGGAACATTTTCCTTATAAGAAATATTCTGTGGCAAGGTCCTATCACCTCCTCCAGTGAAGACTCCTCTGTTACTCATTTTCTTTTTATCTAAGCTCACTTCTTTACCTCAACCTAGTTTTTTTACATACCTGCACTGGTCCAGACTTACTACAGCTTGTGTTTGGAATAGTCAAAACCTTTGCAAGGTAGTGACAACAAACAGTATTCCCCCTTAAGAGCTGCTGCTCATGTTTGGAAGCATGAGCTGTGGCCAAAGAAAAGGACAAATTGCTCTGCAGGGATAATGAGAGTATCTTTTCTGTGGCCTTTACAAACCACAGTGGGCTTGTTTTGGTCCAAATAATGGAAGAAGTAGTCGCTTTACGCATGCAATGCTGGCTTCTATGATACCCAAACACTTTTTCAATTCAGCTGTAATCTATCAACAAAAGACACGAGGGAGGAAAATTAGTCAAAACAAATCCACTTGCAGTGTGTGTCACTTCAGCGCTCTGTGGACTCGGGGCTTTTGCAGAGTTTAGAAAGTGTTGCTGAAGCATTTTGCTGCTTCTGGACTTCAAGTTTCACTTTGCTTTTTCAAGCATCAGCAAATACCAGATGACAACATTAGTCTTCTTGCTGTCATAAAATGGCTTTTCAGGGTCACTCCTTGTAGAAAAAGATCTAACTACACAAAGCACCTTAAAACCAGAATGTGTGGACGTTACTGAGCAGCTGTTTGAATTTAATTGTGAGAGTAACCAAAACACTGTTTCACTTCACCAGCAGTGGAAATGTCCAGTTTACAGGCTGTATGAAAAAAAAAAGAAGAAGGCACGACAGCTCCACAGCTCCACAAGTCAAAATATTTCAAGCCCCAGTCACCAAGTCACCAAGAGTCGCTGTGATGACGCTCGGCTCAAACAGCATATCCCCCCGGTGAGCTACGCAATCTTCGTACACCCATAGGCTGTATCAAGTGTCAATCATAGAAAACATGAACCCCCCAAATAACTTTTGAGAATGGAGCTGCAGAGAAAAAAAAGAACTTGGGCACAAACCAGTCTTACTGTAACTACATGTCAATATCACAACCGGGGGAGAAAAATTATATTCTGTGTAATAAATTTCTAAAGTTTGTCCACAGCTCCATAGGGATTGCTGGAGGTGGCGTGATTTATAACCTATACTGCAGCCCGTCACCAGTTGGTGCTATTCTCATGGTGGCATCACCCAGCGGGGAGGCAGGCAGCATCCACTCTTTATACAGTCTGTGTTCAAATGTGGTTTGGCACAGGGATAGTTCCTCTGTTGGGGCTTTTTCAACAGCTGGTTGTTCACAAAAGAAATCCAAAATTTTTATTTTTGTCATTATAATAGCTGATTATTTTAAATACTAAATAATTTAAAGACACAAATCGAATTTTCTATTTAAAATGTTGATTTTTGTCTTAGTAGTCCTGTAAGCATGTATTAGGCAGACTATTGAGCAGAATGTTCTGTCTCAATGACCCGCTCACCGTAAATTATTCCTCATTTAAAGACCGTAACAATCTCAGTCTAAATAAGAGTAAGTAAAATCTGAAGGTAGCAAACCTGTCTAAAACTCAGAAATGCTCACCCTTGTAAAATTGACTCAGGTAGGTTTAGTGGGTGTGTTCTGAGAATTTCCTGTGGTCCCCCGTGCTTCAAGTCTTAAATGAGTTGGGATGCAGTGACATGTTGCACGCTGCAGGCAGTGGTGACTGACAGGTCAGGTGAGCGTTATGGTCCTCTCAGGCGTGCAGATCCAGCTCCTCTGCCTGATCTGAAGTGGCTTCAATTAACTGGAGCAGCCAAGTGTAAGAGAGGGGACTGAGGGGTACAGGCCCCAGACAAGTCTCTTGACAGGTTTTTGGGGGAGGCAAGATGAGTGGGGCACTCTGACAGGTCCTCTGATGCCCCACCAATTTCAACCTTTCCCCATCTCCTCTTAGCTAATTACTAAGTATCCATATGGAGACACTTGTCACTGTGATCACAGCAAATTGGCTGTAACTGCGGGGTAAGTAAAGCTGATCTTTTACTTTTGCATACATGTGTACACTCACCACAGTATTCACTATATTCAGTACTGACTCTATCCTTGGCCTCTCTATAAAACAGCATTGAAGTCCACTGCATGCCGAGTATCTACAAAACTATATTTATGTTGTTTCTGTACAATACTCCACCAGCACAATGATATAGAAAAGAGGTGATGAAAACATCCCAGCCTTCCTTGACAAATCCTTCCCACAGATTCCATTTTCATGCATTTCTAGAGCAATGTTAGAAGATACTCCCGAGTGAAATGCTAGTTTCACTTTGATTATATAAGGGTGGATCATACTTAAGACACTTCAAACATGGTGAATAGATCTGAAATGTGTCTTTGGTATTTCCTGTCATTAAAATTTACCCTACAAGATTCACTTTGTTAAAGCGTTTTGTGAAACAACCAAGCAGCTTACAAACCTGCACACAGCAGCGGGCCAATGTGTCACATCAATAATGCACTACAGCTTAGTATTTTCTCTCCTCAGCACACAGAAAAATGTGTGTCTTATGGCCTCTAACTGTGCTATTTTACACTCTTTTTCATCTCGTTTCTGAGTCTTGCTGTTCTGGCTAGTTTTACATTACCTAATTAACATGGAAAAGTTTGGAGGGGAGGCGTGAAACACACAGGCTCACATAATTTCCCCTGAAGGATTTATTTTATTCTCATGTTGGCACATCCTCACCGCCTGCACTCTCATTTCCCCTAAAAAAGGAGGGAGATCTCTCTCCTCCCCCTTTACTTTTTAGTCTTTTATTAGAACTGGGTGCAATTTCCACTTTTAAATGACGCATGAATACAACCTGAAACTCCTTACAAAGCTGCAGTTTATATGATCAAGTGTCTGCACCATCCTCTGTTCTCTACTTTACCGAAGTCCTTTAGATCTTCTATCCACTCCCTTCTTTTTATCAAAAATTCTTTTCTATTCAAACTCTTTCCCTGTTTTCCCTTTCTGGACCAGAAACTTGCCCACATTTACTGTTAGCTTCATTGGTACCCATCTGATCACGTCTTTGTGGTTTTCATTAGCAACAAAAAAATCTCTTATTTTAGAGCAGCTACTCATGTACAGCTTGGTTACTGAATATATCTAATGACAGGACTGTATTTTTGGTTTCACAGACTGGACTTATAAAAAACTTTAACACCAGCAGCAATAGACTTATTTTAAAGTTACATTGTGTATATAGGTAGACCAATCAGTAAAGGCACCAAGGAGACAGAGTCTTGTAAGAAAACATTAATATGTGGTCAGGGGAGACAGGAGAGGTTGTGAAAAAAAAAGTAAAATGAAAAAAATTAATTAAACGATTATATTTATCCAGTGATTTGCACTGTGAAGGTATTTTTCATTTAACTTCACCAGTTTTAGATGATTTTTTATTCAAAATCGCAGAGTTTTTACATTTACTCTCCAAATTCTGAGAAGAGACATGCGGTGAGGCAGCAGCCAGATGAGTACAATGACTCGACCAACTGTACTGGCATGCTATGCAGTGAGACCATATTGCTATGTCTCTGTGTGTCGTTATTAAAATAACCATTTTTCTATATGAACTAAATCTCCACAGTTAAGCTGATGTATACAATGTACAGTCTTTTTTTTTTTTGTCAACAATTGTATGCATGAAACGTGTTTCTTGTGCTGAGCAATTGTAACATGGCTGTGAAAAGGCAGCCGTCCGTTTATTTCTTCCTCTTCCCTGGCCTTACTTATAGGGGATTACACATCTAAAATCAAACAATTTTCTAAACTGGACTTTCAATTGAAGCAGGAGATGAGAATTAAAGGAAGACCATTTATAAATATTATTTATAAGTAAAGGTAAAACCATAATAACGTTTTTTATATTAAATGTGCTTTTTGTGTGTAACAGCTTGTACATGTGAAGAAAGCTGATATGAGATTTTCAACATTACTCATTAACTGCTGCCAATCAAATGGTTAATAAGCTTCTCTTCATGTGTTTGAAAATCTGATTATGAAGAAGTCAGTGCCTCACCAGCCATGAACCTCACCTCTGTCTAAGCTTTAGACGAGCTCCTGTTACCGTAGCCAGGGTTGAAGGTCTGGCTTCTGATGCTCTAATGCTCTGCTGGATGTAACAGGCACAGGTTGCAGATGTAGTATATTGATTGAAAAATGGAGCTAGTTAGTTATACAAGTTATACAAAAGCAGAGTCTGGTTAAAGAGGCGTATAACTACTCAACCTGAGCAATGCATGGCCAGCACATTTATGTGGACATCACTCTAGAGGTGTTAGCTCTGCTAATGTTAGCCACAGTGTTTGGCTGTGTTGAACAAATTGCCCTACATTTTGAAAGTTTTCTCACATTAGGACTGTTCAGTAAGAATTAGACCTTTTTTGAAACTTCTAAGACAATAGTCACTCAGGACAGGAGTATCTCTAGTCTAATGCCATGAATTTTGATACAATTTTCTAAAACTCCAGAGTTCATTTGAAGATAAATAAGTTTCTGTTTTGACATTTTCAGTGGTTAGCCGACACCCCCAGCCCCACCCATACACATGCACACACACATACACATTATTCTTGTCATTTCCTGATATTGATACAGACCCACACCCCCTCTTTCAGTAGATCCTCACCCCCATTTGGTACTCACCTAGATCAAAGCCCCTCACACATCTGTTCCACTCACTGCTGCCGTGACTCGCCAGCTGGACTCTGTCCGTCAGGTCTCTGTGTCTGTAGGCGCGTCAGGGCTGCATGTCTGTCCAAAGCCTGAGCTTCTTGGCAAGCTGCAAACGCAAACAGCAGAAAAAAAATCAACAAGACTGGAGTTGTGAGAGCACGCGTGGGTGTGAGCCAGTGCCTTATCATATTCTTGCAAGAGATTCCTTGTCAAGTTGACTGTTTGTTTGCACATCTGTTATGTAGGAGACTTGAATACAGAACATTTTGGAGACGAAGCGTGCGTGCTTGTGTGTGTATGCGTGTGTGTATCGAGATATTACAAAGACATGTTAAATGAGGACTGTAGTGAGGTTTACACAGCGAGGTGAAACAAAGTGGGACAGGGACTCCTCATGCAATTACACCCAGCATTAAAACACTAATCCAGACACAAACTGTATCTGGACTGTATCCAAACAGCAAACTGAGCCACAGGTGTAAACAGAGCCGTGAAAAAGTGCAATCTCATTCCCACAAATCTAATCATAGCGCTTATGGTAATAAGATTCAAAGCAGACTTAATGCTTCCTTAATACTTTTGGGCTATATTCACACTAACCTAAAAACACTCCTAAAGATCTTGGTGGATAAAAATCACACATGCACACACTGCTTGTTAATGTGATGTATAAAGGGCCTGCAGAGACTCCACAAACAGTGCGGCCATCTGACAGAGCACACTCTCAGTGGCACCAACTCCAATGTAGAGGTATGCTCTGGCAGTCTCATTAAAATCCTCCAAGTCTAATTCTCTTTCAAACACCACCTCTTCCTAAATAAACATGACTGAGGACGCTTAGTCAGGCTCTACACGCCTGCCAAATTCAGATGAACAGGATTTCACACAGCAAGCTGGTTGTGTTGGATCTGAACATTATTCTAAAAGCATCTGGATAGTAAGAAAATGTCTTAACAGACAGAGCAATGCTCTCTGGGATCATCATGCACACAATCCATAAGATACCTGACATTTGAACAGAGGAAGCATGCTGATTGAGACACTTTTCTTCTATAACAAGCTTATAAAGTGCTAAGATGCATTTTAAAACAGGTGCAAACAAGTGAGTCAAAAATGGACTTAAACGGCTTAGAAATTCTGACACTAACTGAAACACTAAGTTAAATTTGGCCCAGATGTAGTAGAAAGAGCTGGGCACTTTATGTATTTAGGCTATTTGTATTCATAACCTGTACCCAAAGTGCCTGTAGGCCTTTACCTCAGAGAGGGGGAGAGGAAATGATCTCCATGAATGAATGAAATGTCTTAAGATCCACATGTTTACACACACACTCTGCAGAAATGTCAATCAGATGCAAAACACAGACGCTGATCCCTGAAAGAAATGTCAAAAAGGGAGCCTGACGCTGTGATGTGTATGCGGGCACCGCACCTTCTGATCAATAGCTCACCTGAAATGAATACAAGATCGTCCTGACAAAGCAGACTTGCATTCAGAGTTTGACAACAAAATGGACGCAACACGGATCAATAAGCCACGTTTAAAAAAAGATCTATCTGCAAAAAAGATTTGATCACACAGTACCAGCTGCTCAAGGGTTTAAAATAAGGATTAAGGAAAGATGCTGCTGCATATTTTATTGATAAACCTTTTTCCTTACAGCCTCCTATCCTGTACAGTTCACTATTGAAGACTGTATTGTGTCTATCAAGGACTTAATATGTTGCACTAGCTGTGCAACTTTGGTAATCCAGACATTTGGTTTTTTTTGCTGCTATCAAGTGATTGATAGCAAAGCTGTATTAAAACATTGATTATGATGAAGCTGAAAGAGAGGCTGTTAAAGTATGAGGTAAGTAGGGCTGCATGATTTTGGCCAAAAATAAAATCCTGAATTTTTTCTCTGAAAATTTTAGATTTCGATTTTTTTGTGACAGTGACAACTTCACCAAACTTCAGTTCCACACAACTGACTTGCTCTTGTTCTATTTTGCCACAAAACTACCACCTTCTTTTGCAAACACCATGTTTGATTACACTGGTACATGTGGGAACTGGGGAGCGCTCTCGCAGGAAGGGGAAGCCTACTGTGGCCTGGAGGCACAAGACATGATATAGAGGAAAATCAATTTGACAATTTAAATTTTTTTAACATCATCATAATCAAATAATCAGATTAAGATTTAAAATCGATTAATCGTGCAGCCCCAGAGGAAAGTGTGCCAGAATCCTAGAGTGCACTGCTCCCCTAATAAAACACACAGAGACCACAGGTGGGGTTTTGTAGTACTTAGTGTTTTGACTGTATTTTTAACTAGAAAAGGAGGATGTTGACTGTAGGTTTGACCCCTGCACAGGCGTGAGGATGTTTAGCTGCAAGAAGAACCAGAGGCCAGTGGTGTGGGTTCGTTAGTGTTAACTTTAACACTTCCAGAAGGGGTTAAATCAAGACAAAAAACACTCATGAAGCTGCTGATTATGTACACAACTTAACAGTTTCCTCCTCAGTGTTCAATTATTGGTCATTGTTTTTGTAGTCTTTACTTAGTGTCCAATATTTACACTGCTAAGAGGTGGAGGACAGGCTTGTGACCACAAGTTACGAGGTCTGACCTGAAGCTTGCAACAACCCAATCCACAGTTTGGGAAAGCTGAACAGGAACATGACGTTGTGCTCTTTGCAATTTTTCTATCCCATGTTATTGCCCTTCTGTGACTCTGGCGGTCTCAAGTGGTCAGTTAAGACAGAGACAGATGACTACAGACAGTCTAAGCAGTCATGACACTAAGGCCTGACTGGCTGACCTGAGCAACGCCTGAGCAGTATGAGACTGCTCAACATTTCTTAGATTTAAAAAAAGAAAAGGAGGATGGAGCTGCCAGACAGGGTCAGAAATCAAAAATACAAGAGCAAGGAAAATAGAAAGCAGAAAAATGAAGCCCAGACAACACACAAAAGGGGGGAGAGAGGCAGGATGAAAGATAGGTTGACGTACAACAGGCTGATGAAATAGAGAAAGAAAGACAGGGAGAGAAAGGAGTGCAACAGCAGCTCAAACAATAGTCTAGAAACAAGAGGAACAAAAAAAAGAAAGAAACACTGAGGGGAGGGAAGACAAATTAAGCAGAGGGCAGAAAGGGACAGGAAGAGACGGGGGGAAGCCCAGAGAATAAAAAAATGTCTGAATCAATTCAGCTCTAAAAAGAGGGAAGAATTTAGGAGGAAGAAGAAAGGCTCACTGCTTGGTGTCTCACCGCTCGGAAAAACCTGCACTGACTTAAAAAGACCAATATGTAGAGAGGAACAAAACGCCAGGGGGTTTACATCAAGCGCTCCACTACATTAGAAAAGAGCCACAGAGGAAGAATAACTGACACAATTAACAGCATAACTGTCATCACAGCCAATCAACCCAGTGCCGCCCACACACACACACACACACACACACACACACACACACACACACACACACACACACACACACACACACACACACACACACACACACACACACACAGACACACACATACATAATGCTCTGAGCAATAGACCCATCATGAGCAGGGATGGAATCATGCTAATTTCCCCTAGCAATGCAGCACCAACTGCTACCAGTGAATACCAGATTCCTCAAAGGCTTAGAGGCTTCAGCATCCTAATGCATAAGGAACACTTGTAGAAAATCCAAATTGCTCCATCCCTAACATGTTCACAGCTGCTTTGCATTCTGGGAGAAAAGCTGACATTCAAATATAATCCTGCTGACATGCAAACCAAGTGAAGCCAAGTCTATAAAACACATGAGCACCAGAGGGGGGAAAGTGTGAATCTGTTACTATCACAGGTGGATGCATGCTCCTGCTCAATAAAATACAAACTAAATTTAATGAGCCTGTCCACTGTGGCATTTCCTCTTCTATTTCTCCATTTTTTATTTCACATCCAGAGCTCACCCCACCACCACCACCTACCTTACTCGTTTTTTATCCCGAATCCACTTCTCTACCTCCATCCTTCCCGCTCTCTCCCCATCCAAAACAACAAGAGGCTGTTCCTGAAAGAGGCCCATCAATCTTCTTCAATGAGCCCCGAGTGCGAGAGAGTGCCAAGGCTACAGCAGATTACTATCTCTCCTTACCCCCACTCAACACCGGATAACATGTAGAAGAAGAGAAGAGAAGAACGAGCAGACAGAGAGGCAGGGAGGGTCGAGAGCGAGCTGAAGAAACAATCTCAGATAGCAGGTGGACACATTAGATCTCAAAAGCCTCAGACCCCTGTTAACAGCAGAGGCTTGTCAAGTAAAGGAACCCAGTGGCTGAATTTAAAAAACTCTTATCCTGACTGGCACCTCCAAACCTGACCCTTCATTCATCCTCACAGGGAGCTACTTAAATGTACAGATATGAGCTACAAGTAGATTTTACACTTAGCTGTTAAATAACATTGCTTTATTTTTAGAGCTTATATAAGCTAAATAGCCAAATAGATGCAGGCCATATACTCTGTGATGTATAGTTGGTAACTTGTGGCCTCACTCAGAGCAAGATGAATGATGTATGTTTCAAGGCAATGCTTTCTGAGATTAATAAGTCACTCTCCCAGCAGCTGGTCAATAGACCTTATTCCCACTGCAGCCATCTTCTTCTGACATAACACTCAGGGTGTGAAACGTGTATATCGTTAACATTTATTATAAAGGTGCTCCGGGTCATGAGTCATATAGACCTCAATATTCAGACTAAATGTGGTTATTTACAGCCTCTTTATTAATGAGCAGCAACACAGACTTTAAACCGAGATAATCAGGAGGGGGATCAGCTCATATTTGAAGTTAAAAAACACATTTGACATCCTATTAGCTAACATCAGAGTAGAGCTAGCATTAGCATTCAGCCTTTTCCTTATTTATCACTGATGTTAAATTGTCAGAGGTTCAACACAAAAAAACAGAAACATTTGTACAAGTAAACTGATTATTTTGTATATGACTTCTTTGCTATCACTTATGTTGGTGTCTGTTTTTTTCATCATGTTAGCCAGCCAACAATACAATACACACAATTATGTACAGGTGTCTTACTTTAAATACTGGAGTTATTTGTCTTGTTCCAGTGGCTGTATCCTTTTTCAACCTTTTTTCTGAATCTTGTAAATAAAATTTACTGTTTCTTGATTTAGTTTAAATGAATTACTATTAAGATTCCTTGTTCTGCTCCCTGATTTAGCTTATAATGAAGAGGGTGGGTTTACCAGTGTATGGCTTCATATACTAGCGACTTTTAACTGAATAATAATGCAGTTGTCATAATAACAGCCGCAAATCCCAGTTTATAGGGTCACTCATCCAAATATAATGCTAACTTCTGCTCACTCAATATTGTATTGTAACGTTACAAAAATAGCGCTTCCAAAGATGGAGGATGTGTACCTGACCTACCTATCCAAATATGAACACAAAAGCCAAAATGCAGAACTCAAGGCACATAAGTAGTAAACAACCAACATCACAGCAACCGTGTACACTTTGTGATACCTACTTTAAATCAAATTCTCAAAGAAAGTCTAAACCAATCAATTAATCAATCTTTATCGATATCGCACCAATTCACAACTATTCAATTCAATTCAACTTTATTTATATGGCACTTTTCATACAGAAGGAGTTGCAATTCAAAGTGCCTCACAGAGGCTAAAAACAACAATAAAGACAAAAACCCAACCCTTCCACCCACCCACACACCCATGGACCCACACACACACAGAGACACACACCCACCCTCACATACACACACACACACACACAATCACACACAGTGTGAGAATTTAAGATAAAATTTTAAAGAGACATGGCCTGACACCAAGACATTACATGAGGAACGAATGTCATCTTGAGATGCTAAACAAGAAAGCTGGTCCAAACCAGACTCTTCATGATATTTACAAAGACCCAATGTAAAAATGGGATCAGACTGAGCCCCACCTTGTAAGCTCAGACCCACTCCCATCCCATCTTCAATCACGAGTGAAACACTTTACAGCATTTATCAAGTCACAGTGGAGAGGAAGATCTTTCCTTAACAGGCTGAAGCCTTGAGCAAAACCAGACTCAAGTTAAACAGTCACCTGCTGAGACTGAGCTGGGTTTTAATTTTATGTCTAGATCATTGGTTTGGTTTGATGGGTGATCACCAAATCTTTTACACACCAGTCATCTGATGGTCTTCTTAAAGCTCCACATGGCCCTGACACTGAGGTAGTTAAGGTATTCTGGAGTCCTCTGGAGTCTTTAAGGTTGTTCTTCAGCAATTTAATCCCCTCTTTGAATCACACACTGATAATGGCTATTACAGTCATAAATGTTGTCTAATAAAACACTGAAGAGCAAAAATTCTATTATACGTGTAGGACCCTAGTAAAAATCGAATAAAATAGGATATATGGACTATTTTATGTCAACTAAGGGTATTAAAGTAAATTAGTTTGAGTCATTGCACCAAGGTCTTAAAATTACAGCATTAGTTATAACAAATTTCTGTCTTTATCGAGTTAATTTAGGACAGGTTACATCAGCAACCAGATCTGTTGTCTACTTAAAGTTAGCCAGTCTGTAGCACACTTGTACCAGTAAACCTTTCACCACAATATTTTAGACATCCTGTACACAATTAAAACTGTGCAACAATTGAAAATGTGTAAATTTGAGACTTGTTTGATTATAGACCAGTAAAAGTGACGGGTTGAATAACAACAGCAGTGGCATGTATGTGAGTCATCAGAAAAAGAGACTAAGGATGAGCTACTGACGTTTATCAATTAAAAAAAACACCTTTAAGAAAACACTTGTTAGTATTTCAGTGTGTGTGTGTGTGTGTGTGTGTGTGTGTGTGTGTGTGTGTGTGTGTGTGTGTGTGTGTTAGGGTAGTTATAGAAAGTGTTAGGGCCTAAGTCTGTGGTGTTGTGATATGTAAAGGCTCTAGAAAGTGTGTAAACATGCGTGTGACAGAGCATTGACACTCACAAAGGTGGGAAAACCAGAGCCGTGACCTTGCAGCCGAAAGGGGTTTATAACAAGAAGCCTCACTGCCCCTGTGTGCTGCAGCAGCCATAATACACACACAAAGATGCACATGTATGCTTTACAACAATCAATCCAAGGTTGTACTTATAGGGAGAAAAAAAAACATAAGAAACAGATAATGAATCCATGAAAAGGTGTGGCAGAGAGATTTTCATCTTTTGCAGCTAACACAGGTGTGAGGCAAAAACAGGCAAAGTGTGATCTCTCGTTTTCAAGACTGTCTAACCAACATATATCACTGTGCTTGGAAACACTTCATAATGTCTGATGTGTCAGTTATAGTCAGATAAGGACCCCTTGTGGTGAAAGCGGTTCTAACAGTAGGAAAAGCTTAGTAGGTTGGCGAGTAAAAAAAACTGATTTCTGCAAGTATTTATCCTGCAATGCTTTAATGTCAATGTGTAACTAAATTCCATCATGACAAGAGTTAATCCACATGCTGGGGAGGCCTGTATTTCGACAGAAGCCAATTTTTAATGATCCAAAACTAAGCAAGACAATCAGGTGTGCGTTAGTGATGCAGAGGGACACACTGAGCATGAAGAGAGAAGCTGCAGTCTTGATGAACTATGACTCTATGGCTTAAAAGTGAACAACCAATCAGCCTGTATCCGTGAATACAAACTAAAGTTTCCTCTTGATCTTGCTTTAGCAAAGATGGAGGCAAAAAGTCTCTGGCAAATTATTAAAATAAAGCTTTTATGCAGTGCTATTCAGTGCTTTATTTTTCATGTATTTGGGGCTGGTGTGAGCCTGAAATGCTGGGGCAGATTGTTTTTCCATCTCTGGTAATATCTAGAAGCAGGATTTATATTTTGAAATAAATAAAGAGTTGTTTAATTTGATGGATAAATGTTTAAGTCAATGTAAAAAAAAAAAATGTGGGCCTCTCCAGATGCCAACTACAGAAGCTACCTCCTTGATTTTTTAGGTCTAAAAAACAAGTGACACAGAATAGGCTATAAAAATGGCGGCAGCAAAGCACAATTTTTTCCTATTTTGCTATCTCTGAATAGTAATGTGGTTGTTTACCTGTAAAGCAGGTTGATTATCTTGGCCTAATCATCAGTTGGCACATTAACAACATACTCAACAATATTGTAGTCCACAAAGCACTCAAGGTAACATTTGTGACGGTGTTGGGACATCTCTCATTGTTATAACCAGTCCATGAGTTCATACAGGCTGTAGGACTTGCTGCTAATTCTTTACACCACACTTTTTCCTCAACATCATGCTGGCAATTGTACTCAAAGGCCACAACAAGACCACAGTGCCAGCTCTGACATCTGCATCCACAGTGAACATGATCGGGCTAATTGCTACAAAGCTTTCTCACTGAGGAGAATCTGCATTGGGGAGTTTTGTCAGGCTTAATAAACTCTCCTAGCACTGTCACAACACCACTGAGGGAGGAGGGTGAAGCCCGGAGCTGTCTGTAAAGCTGTCCCCGAGCAGCAGCAGTGATCTGATGGAGGATCAGTGTAGTATGGCTTCTACTGGGCCTCTGCTCCACACAGCGACAGAGAGCAGAATGAGGGGGGTAGCAGTAGGGATCAGCCTGGCGCTAAAGACTTTGACACTAACATAATCACTGATAATTGATTCGGCTAGTGAGGAAGGTGTTACATTAAAGGATAAAAATGGTAGCAACGGTGGCAGCAAAGCACTGAGGCTTAATGTGAGCTGATGGAGCCGACGCCGCCTGTCACACACCCTCTAATCACACAAGAAGTGAAGATTTCTGAAGACATACGCATATCATCAAATCACTATCAGCGCACACTCGCTCAGAGACCCTCAAAGGGGCTTTGATCAGCTGCAGTCCAAGAGAAGCGAGGGGGCATGCAGGCCAAGGACAGCAGAGAGACGAAGGAGGACGAGGAGGAGGAGGAGACAGTCATCCTTCGCTTTTGGAGAACAACC